CATACTTTAAATTTCTGCCACCCTAACCCCCCCCCCGCGTTGACACATGGAACGTGACTGGCACTCTCGCTATCGGCGCGCTCGGGAACGATAGCGCCGCGTGTCGCGATTTTGCCGCTCCTGTCATCGGTCACTTGTGCTACTCTTTTTCCGTTGCAGCTGTACGTGCACAGGAACATGTTATGAGGCAATGGTGGCTGATGTGACATCATTGCAAGCTGTGTATTGAAATTAACTTCCAGCATCCTTGTTCCCCCTGCCTGTTTCAGCCCCTCTCTGGAGGCAGTCCCGAAAAGGACTTTGAGGGCACCAACCCCCACCAATCGTCTGGGCAATCCTACCCTGAAGCGTTCGGAAAGCCTCAAGGAGAACCTGGTAAGACGGTGCCGTTTGTTGCAAAAATGTTAGAGGGCAGTCTAGTCATCTTGGATCAACTTGCTCTCTGGGTTCTGCCTTCACTAAACATCGGCCCTGCTCAAAAAGTGTCTAGTTGCTTAAAATGCCAATTAAAGCGAATGGCTGATTTGATCATTTTGAGAAGGACTGTTAGAAACAATCCAGTCTCCATTATATGCCACTCGTATAGGTGTCGGTGGAATGTGAGCTGTCTTGACGGCTCCTAGGCCAGGTGCCAGCCTATGAATAAGCTGGTGGCGGGTTCCACAATCTGATGGAGGCCTGTTGTGGAGAAGGCACCGTGTAACTGGGATTTCACCTTTCACGAATAATCAAGAGCCCCAGATGGTTGTAGTTAATTCTCGGTACTCCACTTGGGCATGTCAAATGCCCTTCGTTGGTTGCCGTGTAAAGCCCCCAAATTCAACTTTAAAACGGTGTGTTCTATCAGCCAGTTTTCACGGTGATCTGTAACGTTTGGCGGTTACAAAAAACCGAAAGCGTTATGTTCATAGGGAACCATATAAAGACCCTCAGCCCCCCGGCAGGATTTCAACTTTCCACATTGATTGTGAGCCAAGTGCTTTACCGACTGAGCTAGTGAGGGACAGCGTTTGCTCTCAACACGAAGAGAGGACTTTTCGTGCAACATTCGAAGTCTGTGCTCCTCGCGGCCTTGAAGGTGCGTGGGCAGTGTTATGCTGCACCATCTCATGGTGTTTGTCAGAAATGGGAGCGGATCTTCAATACAACACCTGCTTTGTAGCAAGGCAGTGCCATTCAGACGCCTCTCTTCCATCATGGCCAGGGCTGTGAAGCCATGGTGGAAAGAAAAGAGGTGAGCTTGCCGAGAATGTAAGAAGTGGCAGAAGCAGCAGAAAGAGCCTTTACAAGGAGCCCCACCCCGCAGACTATCGCCAATAATTGTAAGGCCATCACACATTCTGTGCTTACAAATTTTTGTCAACATAATCAAAACATGCATTTTTTTTTTTAATGTTTGCTGGAAGGGGCTTACTTTTATCTTCATCACCACTCTACAATATTTTTCAAGGTTTGGAATAATCTGGGACAAGCTTCTTCCACAAAGCCCTCTACTCATTCCACTTTAGCAGAGCAAGTTCTGGGTAGGAGAAAACCACCAATGATGGCGCACAGCGAGCTTTGTGGGAAGGCTCGTCGTGCTGTTTTAAAATCTGTAACACACAACTGTAGCATTCTCAACTGTAGCAGAGTGATGCCAGGAAAGATGGGCGAATATATAACATATTTCCTTTTAGGACCACCACCCAAAACGACAGAGGGCTGCTGCTCCCACCTCAGCCGCCACTGCGGCAAAACAAATCGTGGATCTCAAGAAGCGCCGCCGGCGATCAAGGTCAACCTGCGACGTCGGCAGAGCACCATTGACATCGGCAGCATCCAGGAACGGTCGGTGCACATCTTTGCTGCTGTAACCATTGAAGTGTGGGCTAAGTCACGCTTGCACCTGTGATACTTGAAGATCACTAACCATTTCTGATCGGCTTGGCATATGTTGAGAGTCTCGTTCGCAGAAATTAAGTGTATCCTTGCGTTTAAGCGCTCTCTAGTGCAGTAGCACCAGGGGTAGTTGCAGCAGGCATTCCATTGCGATAACCTTTTGTTTTTCTGAGCTGGCATGTTGACTGCAATAAAGTACAAATGTCATTGGAGGATAATGCATGTCTGTACGTCTAACAGACTAATAAATATCCACTCTGTAAACAGGAAAAATGCTATGTGTGTAAGGATATCTGGAATGCAACATTTCCATGCAGCAAATTGTTTTGCTTGCAAAGAATCCTGCTTCCTTCTCAAATGAAAAATGGTCAGTTACCTTTCATGCTAGTACATACCTAATCATGACCAACATTGCACCCTGAATTCGCTGGAAATGCAGGACCTGCTGTAACAGCTGTAACTTGGGATTAATCGCCTTCTGTGCTTGCGAACTTGGGGACCGAAGATGAGCCACAACGTGCACAAAGGGATATTGGGGGCTCTTTCTAAATCACTGCAGCACAATGGAGTTGGCAGGATCTAGCTTCTTTGATAGAGGGTGTGCCCAAGCTTGCATCTTCACACGGAAACCGCCTAAACCAGCCATCTTTTAAATTGGTTGATTGCTGAAATCTGTGAACAGTGTCTTGAGCTGCAAGACATTGAACAGCAACCCTTGTTGCTTTTTTTCAGCCCTCAAGGCCAGTGGTTCCACCTCCACGCTTGGTTCCTTGGCCTCCAAGCACAAAGGGTCTACCATGTCCGTGGCCCCCTCTGCCCCTAAGAGCAAGGGCTCCGGCAGCTCTGCTGCCCTGGCACCGTCTGCAGCGGGCAAACGCAAGCCGTGGGACCTGCAGGGGAGGGTCAAGGACCTGGAGGAGCTGCTAAGCTCCGTGGCCGGGGACAAGAAGGAGCTGCAGATCCTCCACAAGGAGAAGGAACAGCAGGTTGGTAGCACCTTGCTGACGTTCCGTTACACTGGACTGGTCCAGTTTGTACTCAAGCTTTTCTATCTTCGGGAACCCATACCTGCAAAGAGTGTGGAAGCCTACGGACCATATGAACAATGATGCACCTACTATGCTTCGTTTACCCTTGAGCCTTGACTGCAGCCAAGGCTACAAGAGTCAGAGCGCAAGATTTCGGCTTTCAGACATTCTTCCACAGGATGAGCGCTTGTGCTAGAAAGGCATTCCTGAAAGCAAGTGGCATGGATGCTAGCTCACACATGATGCTTGGCTGCAATCTCTGCTGAAAGGGCCACTGAAAAGAAAATAATTTTTTAATCAGTCTGGTTGGGAGGGAGACTCAAATCAAAAAATAGATTTTTACGCAAAAATTTTTTACAGCAATACAGTAAAACCTCGTTATAACAAAGTTGAAGGAGCGGTCGTAATTATTTCGTTATAACCATTAGTTTGTTATAGCCAATGTCCATTTCTTCCCACTATTAGCAAGCAAGGGGAATTGTGATTGCTTTGTTATATCCATTAGTTTGTTATATCCCGTTTTGTTATAACGAGATTTTACTGTATTGACGGCGCGGGATTTAGGTTCATGACGTCTCAGAATGGTCATACTCTTTCCACCTGAATTCTCCACCTCAACGTGACGGTCAAGCCGATCCACCCCTCCTCCACACGCTCGAAATGCCAAGAGAGATAACAAGTGGAGAGGAGGAGACTACCAACTCAATCACACCTTGCGTCGTCAACATTACTCTGAAAAAACTTTTTCACATAAAATTTATTTTTTGACACGCGTGTCCCAACTAGGCTGTTTAAAAAAAAAAAATTTTCTTTTCAGTGGCCCTTTAAACGGACACTGCAGGGTATTTAAGAAAGGGCAGTACCCAAAAGAGTGAACTTAGAAGCTTCGGCTTAATATGAATGAAATTTACAGTGCATACTGGGTTGCGAGGCAGAATGCAGTGCAAAGTTTCATCTGTGTACAAGAATTGTGATAAAAATTAGTGGTTTCAATCGGGAACACAGATATTGTTTAGGAAAGCTATTTTTAGAAAACTTGGATAATAACAAACTTTTTTCTTTACTAGATATGCAGCGGAATGCCTAAAGAGGGCAGCTGTAAAAAGTTTCCAAAATGTAAATTATTTTATGCTAACATCGTGCTGAAAAATCAAATCAATTTCTTGCCTTTTATCTCGTTACAAAATCTTAAACATAATTTATAAAAGACATCAACAAAGTAAGAAAACAATGCCACAGCGGCATTGCCGATTAAATTCCACTTAAGATAGTTTTCCTAAACTGAAATTCATGCCAAAAAGTGGAACTGAGAAAAGCATGTTCAAGGCGCTCTAACCTCTACCTTTTCTTTAGCGTCAATGGACCAAAAATAATTTATAAAAAATAACCATGCTGTGTAAACAAGTGAAACTTTTTTTTAATACTCTCTAGGATGTAGATGGATGTCAATATGGCATTCTTTAAAATCAACTTTTTTGCAGATATCCTTTTTCTCTGTACTGTCTTCCCTTAAAAGACACGTGCAAAGGAAAAAAACATTTTTTTTAAACAGCTTAGATGGAAAAAGGATATCATAAAACAATTTTACAACAAAGAAAAAAATTTTTTAGAGCTATATATACGGCGCTACAGTCAAACGCCGCTACAACGACCGCTTCTACTACGAAATAGCCCGTACAACGGGCTATTTCGTTGCTTATCTGCTTTATTGGGGTCATTAAAGTGTGCGACGGGTATAACGAAGTGGCGTGTATAATGAAGAATTATCGCTGTCCCACACGCTTCGTTACACAGGCGTTTGACTGTATACGAATTTGTAGTTGGCGCCGGCAGGCGCCGCGGAAAAGTGGCCCTTATTTATCATGTGGTGCTTGCGCTCTTTCAGAAGCTTCCTATGGCCTCTAAAAGTAACTTATTCATCTTTGTTTGAAATATAACAAAAAAAACTAAGATGAATAAGTAACTTTTAGAACCCAAAGGAAACTCCGGTAAAAGCACAAGCAGACGTGACGCTGGTCAGATGACGGCGGCAGCGCCCCGAAGCAGACTAACTTGTGCGACGGTGGCGTGGAGAAATGCATTGAAGTGGCGTCATGCAATGCTCGGCGTGCGGCGGCGCACAGGCCTACCACGTGACCAGCGACGGCTCCTGCGGGCGCCAACTACAAATTTGTATAGCACCGTAAATATATCTCTAAAAATTTTTTTCTTTGTTGTAAAATCGTTTTATGATATCCCTTTCCCATCTAAGTTTAAAAAAAAAATGATTTTTTTTCTTTGCATGTGTCCTTTAAGCTCGCCAAGATATTTATATGTACATGCCGTGACGCAAACTGCCCAGAACACAATTTGTGGCTACAAGTTCATTTTCTTTCTGCCCGAGAACCGTCAATAGAGAACCGGCCGGTTTGAGTCGGTGCTCGCTTTCTTCTCCGTGGTCACGTGCTCTTCCCTGTGGTTTAGACACAACCTCCAAACATAATCAAAGCCGTGGGTCATCGAAGGCACAATCAGTGCTAAAAAATAGACAGAAAATATGATATCCATTTTTTGTGGCTTCTAAAATGCTGCAAATACGTTAATTAAAAAAATATTGCACAGCCAAGTGACTTCTGGTAACTTTCTCCTCTATATTTCTTCTTCCACCCCAGTCCAGTTTCGGTTTCAAGCAGTTTTTTTTACTTTATTAAAAATATGCGACGCTGTAGCAAAATTTTGATTGGGTAGTCTTCTGTCACCATAAAAAATCACCTGGCAAAAAATTTAAAAAATATTGTTTGGGAGTGTTAGTAACCCTGGGCGAATGCAGTATAGGTAGTGTTTTTGACTCCAGTTTGCTGAAGTTGTGCTGCGGAGAAGGTGCCGTGTAACGGAGCTTTCGGATGCACGTCAAAGGATCCCCAGGTGGTCGAGATTAATCCTCAGCCAGATGCCCTTTGTCGGTTTGGCACATAAAGCCCCCAAATTTGACTTTTGCTGAAGTTGTACTTTAACTTGCAAAACCTTTTGAGGTTCTGAGCACTTGGGTATACCTTTCAGTGCATTCTATATCTTTTTCTTTAGTAATTGATCCCTTCAAATCAGGAATGATGTCAACTGGATAAATCAGGCTCGTTGTTAAAGCAATATTCGCCTAGTATGACAACACTTAATTTGTTGCATGACTTCTAGTGGTGCATTCTTTTGCTGTCATCTCTTAGTATTTTTCATTGGGAGGGATTTTCTTTTTGCTTTGTTCCCGTAAAGGCTAAAGCTCCAAACTTGCCTAAATCTAGAATGCGTTATGGCAGCATTTTCACTGGACATCTAACCTTTAGCCATTATTACTCAACTTGGGCAACGCCTTTCTTTATTGACCCGATGGATGAGTCTTTTCCGGAAGATTAAAGGGCTCATCTTTCAGTACTTGCTCTTGTACACCTTGCTTGTCTGTATTTCTTTGCCCATTAAAACGAAACTTTTACATCAATTTTCTGTGTGCTGTTTTGCAAGTATTGTCTTCATTCTGACTTCAGGTGGAGGTGCTGATAAAGGACAACTCGGAGCTGCAAGTGCAGCTAGAGCATGTCAAGAGGCTGACACTGGAGAATGACTCTCTGAAGGAACAGCTCAGGTAAGAATTAGAAAGTGCACTTGGGAAGACTCCAGTTCCTGTCATATTTGTTTTTATGCTGCCACAATGTCGGCGAAGTTAGTTTCATTTAGTCAAACCGCAGCAATTTGTCGGCATTTTTATTGAGAGGGATGAAGTCCAAGCAATCTTTACAATAAGAAATTACTTAACTTCTCAGATACTCTACACAATGCACTTTGTTGCCTGAAGGCATGCTAAGAATGAAGTTGTAAGCTAATGTGTCAGCTTTCACCTTATCCTGGTTCTCTGCCTCCGAGCCGGTGACATTTTCAAAAATAACTTGGTGCAACAGTGCAATTAATATATAATGTAACCTTCATACGCATATTGTGAAGAGATGTGCAACACTATGGTTATGTTGTACAATGTCCCATGTTTCGGTCCTTTTTATCCTAACAGGCACAAGACCAACGAGGTGGCAAAGGTAACAGCCGAACTTGAGAGCACCATGACCAAGCTCGAGTGCTGCCAGAGAGAGAAGCAGTCCCTACAGGAGACGGTGTCTCAACTCACCGGGAACTATGCAGGGCTACGAGCGGAACACTCGGCGATGCAGGTTTGAGATCTCCATTTTCTGCCTGCTGGTTTTGTTGCAGGGTGCCAGAGGCGTTCTGCCTCGGAAATGTACTAATGCAGAGAAATGCCCCTAGAGGTTTCATTTCTGCAATAGCCTACTCGACAAAGGGGATTCATCACGCACCCAAATGCCCTTCTTTGCTTCACCGATTCTAGCTAAGGGGGGACATTGGTCAAATTGAATGGCAGGTTTCTTAAAAATTGTTTTTTGTAACTTGTGTTTTTAAAGTTTACTGCAGTTTTAGCAAGTTTCTATTTTTGTGGATCAATATTAGTGCTATAATAATTTTTAACATCTATGCAGGCTAAACTTGCATTGAAGTTTATATGCCATTTTCTCAAAGCACAAATTTTGGGCTCTTTGCAGATTTGCAGGAGGTATATCTCAGCATCTAGGACAGATAGAAATAAAATATATTTTTGCAATATGTTGCTAAGTACGCGAGGCATACAATGTTGAGAGCAGATTTATTACTACAAGCCTAGGAAATTTTTCAACTCATTGTTTTATTTCTTAGTTGCAACACACTGAACACTGACCTTCAATATCTTTAAAAATTACTAATAATGGTTAAATCTCTAAAGTAATTCTAACATTGTATTCCTTATACTTTGTAGTGTCTAGCCTTGCACCAAACACAATTTTTTGTTCAGTGAATGTTTTTCTGTTTCTGAAAGCAAAGGAGAGTTTTATTTGAGGACTGTACTGCTGACCGAGAAACTGACCAGATATTTGCAATCGGCAAGAAAAACTGAACAAGCTTGTGCACTTTCATTCAGTTCCATCAAACAAAAAGGATGAAAGCTCCAAGGCCAGTGTTAATTTTTAAGGGCAATTAATTTAGCATGACTGAGCTGTCGTCTTCCTAGTGGATTTTTTTTTTTTTTCATTAACCAATATTTGCGAGGTTCTGAATTGTAATTGTAAGAATATTAAGGTAAGACATTTATTTGTGTGTACCCGAGCATCACACATCGTCCTCAGGTTGTCCCTTACAGGGATGTCCTGTGGATGTGTATAGGATCTGTGCTGCTAGCTTATGTTACTCCAAATCATTTGGAGCTTCCTCAATAGGATAGGTTTTTCGAATCTCCTGTTCTAGGACATCTCCAAGGTGTGTGTTATCTGAATCTTGCAATGAATCTCATTCCTTGTCTAGGGCAAATGTTAATTATGTGACTAGAGCTTCGGTTTTGCCTTGACTTTGCTGCACATTAAAGATGTACAAAAGATTTTTCTTCGTGAAAAAGGGACACCAAAGGTGCACCTTTAGGTGCAACGTACATAACATTGCCATCGGACTCACTTGCAATACTTTTCGTTTACGCTGTTTTAAGTAGCCTCGGTTTAATTTGCAAGGCCCTCATAACATTGTCGCAATAAAGGATTGGATGGTTATGATGCCCTCTGAACGCTTTTGTTGATACTTCTCTATGTTCGCTACCTCCACGGGTGCTATAGATTTGTTTAATTCCTTCTGTGCGTGCTGTAGCTTCGCGGTGCTGCAGCTTCTGTGCTGATGAGATTCATCTGCTTGCAGCTGCTGCTTCAAAACGAGCAAGAGAAGTGTTCGCGGCTTGCAGAGTCTCTCCGTCAGAGCCAGGAACGGGAGGCAGAGAAGGACCGGCAGCTGCAGGACGCAGAGATGATGCGTCGTGACCTGCATAACACGCTGCAAGAGTTGAAGGTGGGTTGCACTACGGCTCGATATTTTCCTGCGCTATGCAGTTAGGGTTTTTCGCTGAGATGAAGCTTCTTGGTTCGTGCTCGATTCTGCAGATGTTGATTGTCACAACGGATCCACTGCATTAAGCACCATAAATTTTGCATCCACTATGACGTGCCTTTTTAAGAACGGTGGGTGCGCATCGATGAGGCAAGCAAACTGGATAGGATGAAACCACTATAGCGAGGATTCTCACGCTGGGTTTCTAGGAGCCCAGGGTTTCACAGGTTCCAAAATTTCCTTGGCCACAAGTAAAGTTTCAGCGCTATATGGGAAATCCTGAGCCATTCATGGATGCAAAATGAAACACGCCCTATTTTATGTCCAAGGTTTGCAGAAACCGACCTTATACATAAAAGGGGTTCTTGGGCTCTCAAAGAGGCTCTTTGGCTCTTGGGTGATGCTTCTACTGGTATTGTCATTTGAGGTGCTGATGTAGTGAAAGTTGACCAAAGAAGTGACTTCCTTAATCGGGTGGTTCTCTGCTAGGAAGCGTTCGTGCCTCGCCATAGATTATGCTTTCAGGTAACCCGTAATGAAGAGTGCTCACTATTGCACGTTGCTCAAGAACTGCAGAATCTTTGTTTCAAAAACGTGGCAGATCACAGTCATTGTCACAGCGCGTCGGAAAGCTGCTGCCTCGTGAGTGTCGGTCTGCTTACCTGTTGCGCAGTTTGCGTGCCAGGGCTGTTTCTTGTAAAAGGAAGAAGCGTAGCCTTGTGCGCAATCTAAGAATTAGCAATATGTCTAATAATTCGTTTATTTTCATCTCCATTGATGGTGAAGCTCGAGGGAAAAAAAGTTGTGAAATACCGCTTACAAGGCCCTCGACCCCGTACATAGGCACAACAGCAGAGGTACAGGAAGAAAAAAAAATGCTACTTCATGCGATAGTACAAAACAGGTGGATAATAACGCACGCAACAAACAAATAAAAAAAGATTGAATAATCCTGGAAACATTAAACAAACTGCCAGATCACTGGCATTCGTCATGGCATACACTGACCATTGTATCATATTGGGAGTCTTGTGTTTCCCTCTCAGGGAAACATCCGCGTCTTCTGCCGGGTGCGGCCAATGCTTCCGTCGGAGGAGAGGGAGGGCGAGCGCCCGAGCCGCATCTCGTTCCCAGACGAGAAGACGGTGGAGCTGGTCAAGCCCGACACAGAGGTGAGGGCACCACTGGTGTTCTACTGCATTCTTTGGAATACATAATTGTTATTGTGGTCAGTCTACCAGTGAACATTGAGGGGAAGAGGGAGCTTGCACTGGTTGTAATATGCCAATAAAGATGGCAGAGCTTGGTAATGAAGTTATAAAATGCCAGAATCAAAATTGCAAAGAGGAATCTCTTGGAGGAAAAGCATTTTAAATTTGAACAGACTCAACTGTGCTGGCATGGGCAGATTTCGCAGTATGCCGAGACAGTATTTAATTCCTTTAGTTCTTTCTGTGCCACTTACTGCATTTATTAACAGTACATTGCAATAAGCTGCTTCTCGAAGTTTATACTAGAAGTTGTAAGATGCGATAGTTTTATGCCCATCGGTGTTAACTAGATAAAAAAAGTTGTGCCCTAACCTTGCATTGAGATCGTGGCGGAAATACACGAAATAGTGGCAGTGTCTGCTACTGACAAGACTCCCTTATCTCGTTTAGAATTTTTACAGGTTTTTCCCAACTCTCAGCTGAGTTACATCTCAGTGTTGAGCTCCTGCACCTTGTTAACTTTCCTCTGTGCTCGTCTCTGATAAAACAGGGCCAGTTTTTTTATAAAATCGCAGAGTACCATATTTGCGTGACCGACCAGTTGTGTTCCCTTTCTCCAAGCAGAAGGTGATGGCGTTCCCCTTCGACCGGGTCTTCCCGGGCTCCGCGACCCAAGCGGAGGTCTACGAGGAGGTGACACACGTCGTACAGTCTGCGCTGGACGGCTACAACGTGTGCATCTTCGCCTACGGCCAGACCGGATCCGGGAAGACCTTCACGATGGAGGGTCCGCCAGACCTGGACCTGGGCTGCCCAAACGACTCGCAGCTGGGGCTGATCCCCAGGGCCCTCCAGCAGGTGTTCATGTCGGCGCAGGAGCTCCAAAACACCCATCACTGGGAGGTGGGTACTTCTACGTGCGTAGCATTTGTAGGGCCACCTCTTCGGGGTTTTCGTGTCCGTGGCACGTAACCTCTATGTTGACGTCACGGTGTTCGTAACAGCTGGTGTCTGACAGTGTTGCTGTAGCTATCAAGAGTCCCAAGAGAAGCTTTGACTGGGCAGTAGTGCACTTGGATCCAATAGCTGCCGATCAGGGTGTGGTAAAGCCCATGTGCCATACTTAAGCATCTTAAACCTAGGGCAGTGAGTGTAACTCTCCACTGAAAATCAAAGCACAGCCAAACAATCGTCTACTCTTTACATCCATACTGTCCGCAATAAGCGGCACTGTTCTGAGCATCAAATCTGACAAGGGTTCCTCGCGTGTGTCTTCTAGTTCACAATGGTGGCGTCATACTTGGAGATCTACAACGACAATGTGCGAGACCTCCTGTCGACGCGCCCCCGGAGAAAGCAGACCGCCTGCCAGATCAAGCAGGAGAAGGACGGCTCGATGATGGTGACCAACGCCACCAAAACAACTGTCACTTCTCCCGAGCAGGCAAGTGTGGCCCTTGTTTGACCAAGGTCACCGATGAAATTTGGGTTTGACAGCGATAGCTGTTATGGACTCTTCCCGCCACTGGGAATGACATCTGTTACGTTGTAGTTAATGTAGTAGTTGGCGTAGTAGGGTGTCCGTCGATCCTTCCAAATCCTTAAAAGAGATTGCCCGCTGCATACAGGAATTGAACCTAGGTTTGCTGTGTGCGAAGCGGAGGCGTTACCATTGAGCTACGTCGCAGCATTAACAACCCGCTTTATACTTGTGGTTTATGTTGTACTGTAATGAACGGCCGTCCTGGAGACCCTGAGGCGTCCAATCCCATAGACAAGCATCCGGGGCAGAGCGAAGGGGCTAATGAGCGACCTCAAAAAAGCAAGCAGACGTGGAAGGAGAGAGAAAACCTTTATTTTCGCTCAGAGTCCAGAGCTCTTATGTGGGAAGATGTCCATCGGTTTCAATGTCGAAATACTTGGACAACAGTCTGCGGCGAGACGAAAGGGCAAACAAGCGGCTTCCCTCGAAGCCAACAGACATTGGCGGTGGTCGACATACCTTTTCCCATACTTCCCAGGCTGACCCCCTCATGCCAAGTGCCCCGCACCCAATTACCTTCCCGTCGGAAGAGGAGGCAGTGGCACTTGTGTTGTGGGCTTCACGCCGACCCCTCGGGGTACAAGGGGAGGCGTCCTTGAGACGGCTGGTCTGCATGGGGTTGGTGGCGTGTGTGGGGGAGGAGTTAACTTAGCTACCCGGAATTCCTCTGTGGGGAATGTAGGGAAGAGTCCCGTTAAAAGAAGCAGATTTCTTCGGGACTTTTCGTCTTCAGATTCTGTATTTCTGTCCTCTACAAATGTAAACCTGTTGTCAAAAGCGGCCCTGCTTGGAAGCTCCTTCTGCCCGATGCCCTGGTCGGCACTTGGCTCCACCAAAACCCAACAAGGATAACCCCAGAGCTGTTACGGTACCCAATGTCCACTGCTCGCGCTCTCTGGAAAAAATGCGAAGAAATGGCCTATAACAGAATGTCTTATCACTGTCAGCGCCAAGAGCTTGTGCCGGGAGATGGGGTTTCGCATGCTCCTGAACAAAAAAATAAACGAGCGTTCGGAACAAAATGGTCACTTCTATTCTGTTTCGAATGCTTTTGTTCGAACGCGATGCCGATGCCCACTGACTTTGCCGTGACGCGTCTCACCTGTCGCTGTGACTGTACTTTGGATTAACGCGGGACTGCTCAATTTCTTGGTGGTCTTGAGGGAAACTTGGCAAATTTAATTTCGATATAGGCTCTAGTTTTGTTATTTCCTGTGAAGCTTAAAGTCAAAGTTGCGCTGCTCATGCACCATGCAAAAGACTGTGATCACTGCAGACACAATGACAGAATTATTATCGTGCAGACATGCCTCAAGCATGTTCAAAGCATGTTTCTCGTACATATCTATGCTTCAACATGTTTGCAGACAGTATTTTGTAGAATGTTTTAGCAATGTGACTGCGGCTTCACAAAGTCTCTTGGCATGAAGCAGTTCCACAAACCAGGGAGACGGCTGGAAGTGTTTGGCTTAGTCATGCATAGCTCACCTAGGCTTCAAAAGTTGTGCTTACTGCTTTACAAAACAGGTAAGCGGGTAGTTCCATACATGTCAATTCCTTGTTAAGCATAGTGTTGAAAGGTGCAAGAGATTTACGGTACTGTATGAACTCTGCTATGGCCGATTGTTTGATTGAGCTTGTGCAATGTCTGCGTAGATCTACGAGCTGCTCCGGCAGGCTCGCAAGCATCGGGCTGTCGGGGCCACCCAGTGCAACGAGCACTCCTCCCGCTCGCACTCGGTCTTCCAGCTCCGCATCACGGGGACCAACCGCCAAACCGGTGTGGGCAGCCGAGGTGGGTGGTCCCCAGTGGTGGACACGGTTCAGTATTTTTTTGCTACAGCTTCGCTCCTGGCTAGCTGACTGGTTTTCCTAACGCACAAGACAGTAACACATGTTTTCTACAAGGTTGCACGAAGTTCATTAGTTTACTGGAATACAAAAGTAATTCGTTCTTGGCAGAGCAGAATTTCTTTTAAGGCAGTTAAACAAAGTTTAAACTGCCCTAGAAATAAACTGTTAAACAGAGTTTAACAGTTTCCTTTCTATTATACAATCTCCATCTTGCAACCATTGCTGCTTCTTGAGACTTTTATTCTCTTTGCCTACTGTACATGTCTGTCCTGTTTGTGGCACCCATCTAACCTGTTCCAGATGACTTGTTTTTCATTGTGCAGTTCACTTCCTTTCACTGCAAATGAAATGCTTTCCCATAAAGTGCCACAGATTATGTGAGACAGCTGCTGAAGTTTGAGGCCTGCTGATGTCTGCTGCCATACAGCAATAATCTCCAATGCTGGTATGTGTGTTTGCAGGCCTGCTGAACCTGGTGGACCTGTGTGGCAGCGAGCGACTTGACGAGTCCAAGGCGGAGGGTGCCAGGCTCCGGGAGACCCAGCACATCAACCGCTCCCTCTCGAACCTGGGCAACGTCATCCTGGCACTCTCCCAGAAGGTTTGCAATTTGTCTTCTATAAGCAACCTCCTTTCCGAATATGAGTTGGCTGCAGAAAGGCAACGCCTTCGAGAAAATATCTACAAGAAAATGGGCACATTCCGTCTGCTTCTCTCAAGGGTTTTCCCGTGCTCTCAGTGCAGTTGGGATGCGAACATCGCACATAGGAACATGCTGCTATAAGTTAGTTTGTTGCAATGTAAGGTTAACGGGAGCCTCTCCCGCCAGGCTCTTCCCCAGGATTGGCAGTTTTCTCATCTCGGCATTCGCTCTGCTAATGTGGAAAGACTACTTTCATTTGGTTACTGTATTGTGAAACAAACTATTACTAAATTGAAATGGAAGTGGCATCGGGGGAGCACCAGGGGGAAGCAAATAAGTAGACGTGGGTGCTTGGAGTGTAGTTGAGCAGCAGCCTTCTAGATGCTCCTGTCAGTTTAGTGACTAAAGCGCAAAGCTTGTGCACTCCGGGGCATGGACTCGCACTTAGTGACGGGTTGCTCCAGACTGTCACTTATTCTTTCAATTGAACTGGAATGTAAGTGTGGTGGTAGAATCATTATTTTGAGCAATGGTCGTTCCCCTTCTTTGGCAACTACAGGCGGAGCATGTGCCATACCGCAACTCCAAGTTGACCTTCCTCCTGATGGACAGCCTGGGAGGGAACAGCAAGACCCTCATGCTGCTCAACGTCTCTCCCCGTGAGAAGAACCTGGCAGAGACGATCAACTCGCTGCGCTTTGCCACAACGGTACATACTTCTTTGCGGTTACGTCCCTCTAGGGCAGTGGTTCTCAAATGGGGGGGTCTGCGAAGCATTCTAGGGGCCATGAAACCCTGCCTTATCAGTAAAGCCTGGCAATAAGTTTTTTATCAGGTTGAGAAGAGACATTCCAATTTTTGGGTAAGTTTTCTAATGTGTATATCAGTGAGAGAAGTCTACTTCACATTAGTCCTTAGTTATACCCATTTATAAAATCATTATCGTAATTAACATATACCTTTCCCTACTCCTCACCACGAATGGGGTCCTCCATCATTCCTGCCGATCCACGGGGGTCCGCGAAACATCAATGGTTGAGAACCGCTGCTCTATGGTTTCGTAAAGGCATGGCGTGTTGTGTGCCATGTCCTTCAAGATGCAGGTGCCATGGTTGTGCCAAGCAAAAAAGTGGCAAAACAAGTCCCAGTCAGGGGCCAAGACATGCCAAAAATAAAACTGGTACTGCTCAGACTTATTGCAAGCTCCAGTAATTTTGCTAAATTTGTTTTGAAAATGGTGAAATAGTTTCGTGGATAATAAAGCAGTATAGTTATCCGCCCCATTTGAAAAGGCCGCCGTGACTGGTGGGCTGGTGACGTCTCCAGCCAACTGCACGGCGTCCTTTTGCGTGCATTCGCAGGCTTAACTCACTTGGCGTCTCAAGCCTGTTTCCTAATTTACCGTCCGCGTTCTGAGCTTGTGGTCTGCGACAATTGTCCACAGCATCGCTCGCTTCGTCAAAGTCTTAGACACTGACCGCAGCAGCGATGAAAGCGATGTTGGAAGCTGCTCATTTGACTATGACCCGCTGGCGACCAGCGACGGCGAGTCGCGGACGAACTCGCCGTGGTCGGTGTCGTCCGTGAAAATCTCGCAGGATCATGCAGGGTGGATTGGGGAAGGTCATAGGCTGGGGGCAAGAGCGAGAGTATCGTTGGGGTAGCAGAAGAGCGCAAGCGGTTTTGATCGTATCTTATCGCGGCGAGGCGAGCTTAAGCAATGAGCGTTTTTGATCACGTGGTCTGTGGGCAGTATGGTGACTAACTTGGGCAGTGTTGCCTGGTCGCCAGATGAAAATTATAAAAATTTGTAAATTGATTATTGCAGTTACTAAACCTCTGAAAATCAGAAAACTTGGTGTATATAATAAGTAACCAATAAGCATTTGAAGAATAATCTATCCATTTAATTTTCGTGTCCTAGCCCTTTTAAAGATTTTCAAGCAAGATTTGTCACATTGCAATGGATCATTCAGTCTTCGCCCTTAAAGCCGCACATGCTTGATTGTGCTGCACAGATTGAAAAATGTTCTCTATTCTTTGTACCCCTTGCCCTCCTAATCTTTCATGTCCATAGCTATGACATGGCATATTTTATTAAATGTGTATGGCATTAGTTAGCCTCTACACCTTGAAGAGTTTAGTGTTTAAGGTTTATGCCTACAGCTTGAAAGATGTAGGCATCGGTGTTTATTATAGCTGGGGTACTGGAAAGTAAAAATGGGTAAATCTGCAAGTCTTGTAGAAGATTGTTCCATGTGTTCTTAGTCTTCCTCTTCTGTTTGTAGGTGAACCAGTGCGACATCGGGACAGCACACCGGACAATGCAGGCCTCGTCCCATTATTAATGGCCTGCTGCCATTTCATCTTTTTATCTATATTTGTAAACAGCCGGGTAATGCCCAATGGATCATCTTTTAACTAGCGTTTCAATCTTTTTTTAGTCTAGTGCATGTACATACTGGCAGTTTTTATGTATAGTATATTTTTATGAATTTTATGAAGTGTTACGTACTGTAACCTCATGTACATACTCATTGTGTCGCGTTTTTATGAAGTACCGATTTTATTTGACTTCCTGAGATTCTCATTTTTGCAAGGTTGGGCAGACGCTTCAAGATGGATGTCTACTAGATCTATGTTCTTGCAGACACATCCATGTTGGACAGAAGGCAGTGCTTTTTGTTTAGTGAGACCTGTATACATCTGCAAAATCGCTTGCTGCATTGCCATGGGATATTCTGTCCAGAAAGACTATCCCAAGATATTATGACCTTGTGTTGTATGGGTGACACAATAAGCGGGCAACAGCTAGCGCGCGCTCGTGCGTCTCGCGCCACTGTTCCTGGGCGCCATATCTATCTGAGCCAGCGCACCGTTTACACCACCCGCTGCTATCCTGCCGCTCTCTCACGCCCGTGACTATGTGTCGTACTCCGGTAGTCCTGCAATAAAGATGTGCCAGCGAAGAACCCCATCGGCCTGTTACTCCAGATACCACACAGTGGCGACGAGGACACGGATTTCGCTGCTACAACGGGATGCAGAGACCGTCGGACGACTCACCAACTGAGGGCCTTTCAACTGATGTTCCAGTATCTGGCATCTTGAATCAAGGACCAGAGGACCGGAAGGCAGTCACGATGGCCTTATTCGGGCAAGTCGAACCTTTTGATGACACGAAGTGTGATTGGTTATCCTACGAGGAAAGGTTGCGAGCCTTTTTGAGAGCGAACGGAGTAGCGGACGCAAACCGAGTTGACGTGGTCATAAGCCTCATAGGAGCTGACACGTATAAGTTGCTCAAGACTCTAGTAGCGCCTGAGGACCCGGCATTGAAGAGTTTTGAAGATGTGCTGGCCGTTTTGCGAAACCACTTGTCGCCGAGGCCGTCGGTCATCGCAGAAAGGGCAACGTTCCATAAGAGAGAACAACAGGAAGGGGAATCGGTCGGAAAATATGTCGCCGAGCTCAAAAGAATGACACAGACGTGCAATTTTGGAAGTAACCTGGAAGAAACCCTCGGAGACAGATTCGTCAGCGGTCTGAGTCGTGTTGACATTCAGAGAGTTTTGTTTGCCGAAGATGAGAGCCTGACATTCAAGAAAGCTGTGGAAAAAGCGTTAACTATTGAAAGAGCCACCATGAATGTGCAGGTGTGTCATAATAAGGCGGACAACGACCAACTCGAACTGCAGAAACTGACGGCGGTGAAACCGAAAGCGGTAGTGGGGGCTCAGGACAAATGTTTCCGTTGTGGGTCCCCTAAGCACATTGCCTCGTCATGCCCGCACCGTAACGCTATTTGTTATCGCTGCAACCGGGAGGGTCACTTCCAACGTTTCTGTAAAGCATCACTGGCCAATACACCAGGCAGAGCAAAACAGTTCAGAAACTTCTCCGCTGAGGAAGAAAAGAGTGAAGCGATATACGGGCTTCAAGACAGAAACATGAATGCGCCGTTCTACTACACGCTCAAGGTCGGAAACGCTCCTCTTCAGATGGAACTAGACACCGGTGCTGCCGTGTCTATCATTTCGAAACGCCAGTTCCAATCGTTGTTTCCTCGCACAGAGCTGTCTCCGGCGTCACTAATACTGCGCACGTACACCGGCGAGCGTGTCAAGCCAAAAGGAGTGGCGACGGTGGACGTAGAGTACCGAGACTTCAAAGGAAAACTTCCGCTTCACGTACTGGAAGAAGATGGGCCACCTTTGATTGGCAGAGACTGGGTCTACAAGCTCAAGTTTGACTTGGGATCGCTAAACGCGGTCAGCGTTGATGTAAAAGCGTCTCTCCAAGACATCCTAATACGCTACCAGGATGTGTTCAAGGACGAGCTCGGATGCATGCGAGGGGAAGAGGCTCGGCTAAGCTTAAGGGAAGGTGCGAGTCCAAAGTTTCTGAAAGCTAGAAGTATGCCGTTCGCCCTGAAGCCAGCTGTAGAAGAAGAGCTAAAGAGACTGGAGGTGACAGGTGTCATTGAAGCGGTGGCCCATAGTGACTACGCTACACCAGTTGTCCCGGTTTTGAAGAAGGATGGGTCTGTACGCCTTTGCGGGGACTACAAAACAACGGTAAACCCTTGCCTGGACGTGGAGCAGTACCCGTTGCCAAAGTTGGAAGATATTCTAGCAACGGTAGCTGGGGCGACTGTTTTCTCGAAAATAGACTTAAGTCGTGCATACCAGCAAGTTCCGGTCCACCCTGAGTCACAACCCTATCTGACAATCAACACTCACAAGGGTCTCTTCCGCGTCAAGCGTTTGGCGTTTGGGATCGCTTCAGCTCCAGCACTGTTTCAAAAGATAATGGACAGCTTGCTGGCGGGAATTCAAGGAGTAACCTGCTATCTCGACGATATCCTGGTAACAGGGAAGACCGCCGGGGATCACCTGAAGAATTTGGAGCAAGTCCTAAAGAAACTGAGTGACAAGGGCGTCCGAGTCAAGAAAGAAAAGTGTGAGTTCTTGAAGGCAAGTTTGAAGTTCCTGGGGCACCAAGTCGGCGAGCAAGGGGTAGCTGTGTTGGCAGAAAATGTGCAAGCGATCCTCGATGCACCTCAACCGCAAGACTCAAAACAGTTACGGTCGTTTTTGGGAATGGTGACATTCTACGGAAAGTTCCTCCCAGACCTCTCGACCACAATAGCACCGCTGAACGAGCTACTAAGAAAAGATGTCGTCTGGACCTGGAGCAAGCGCTGTCAAGACGCTTTTAACATGGTGAAGAGGCTTCTGGTTGACGCACCTGTCCTGGCACACTACGACCCCAAGGCAGACCTTCAGGTGTCATGTGATGCCTCGGCATACGGTCTCGGAGCCGTCCTGTCCAGGGTGTACTCCAACGGCGACACACGGCCTATCGCGTTTGCGTCGAGAACCTTGACATCGAGTGAAAAGAACTACAGCCAACTAGAAAAGGAGGCACTGGCTATTGTGTTTGGCGTGAAGAAATTTCACATCTACTTGTTTGGACGATCCTTCGTGTTGGTCACTGATCACGAACCGTTGCAAACCATTCTTGGTCCAAAGACGGGAATTCCGAGCATTGCTGCCGCACGTCTGCAGAGATGGGCTATTACCCTTTCCGCCTATCAGTACCGATTGGTTTACCGACCGGGTCGACTCAACGTGGAGGCGGACTGCTTGTCACGACTTCCAGTTCCTGGGTTTCAGGATGAAGACTACGAGGATGACGTCGCGGCGTTTCTCAGTCTCCGCCTGCAGTCTTTTCCGGTAAGCAGCCAAGAGATCGCACAATTTACAGCAAAAGATAAAGAGCTCTGTCAAGTGGCAAGGTTCCTTGCCGGTGCGTGGCCCGCAAAAGTAGAAGATTGTCTGAAGCGTTACTCTGCAAGAAGAAGCGAGCTGACGTGGCACCAGAATTGCCTTTTGTGGGGAATGAGGGTTGTGATCCCGAAGGGACTGCGCGAACGCCTACTGGACGAGCTGCATGAAGGGCATCCTGGAATCGTAAGGACGAAAGAACTGGCACGCAGCTATGTATGGTGGCCGGAGGTCGATGCGGATATTGAATATCGCGTCAGGTCGTGTGATACCTGCCAACAGCAGCAGAGTCTTCCAGGTCCAGCCCCGCTGCATCCGTGGTCCTGGCCAACTCGTCCGTGGCAAAGGCTGCACTTGGATTTTGCGGGACCTTTCCAGGGCCGTCATTTTCTGGTGAGCGTCGACTCCCACTCCAAGTGGCCCGAGGTTTTTGTGATGAACAGCACATCGGCCGAAGCAACTATTGAAAAGCTGAGGGAGCTGTTTAGTCATTTCGGTCTGCCAGATGTTGTTGTCAGTGACAACGGCCCCCAATTTTGTTCCCAAGAATTTCAGATTTTCTTGCGAGAGAACGGTGTGAGGCACGTCAGGACCGCCCCCTACCATCCATCAAGTAATGGGCTGGCTGAGCGTTTCATCCGCACCCTGAAGGAGGCCTTACGAAAAGAGATGCCGGGCCGGCCTCTGTCCCGTCGACTAGCAAGTTTCTTGTTAGCTTACAGAAACACACCGCACGCCACAACCCTTCAGAGTCCTGCGGAGTTGCTGCTTGGGCGGCGGCTCACTACCCGTCTCGACAGACTGCGACCCTCTGCAGAGGAAACTGTTCACCGCAAGCAGGACGTGCTACAGGTGAAGCACAGTGGCAAACACCGACACTCCGTGCCGGGTGATAAGGTGTACGTCAAGAACTTCCGGCCGCGTGAGAGGTGGTTGCACGGAGTCGTCATGGCTAGATCCGGACCGGTCTCCTACAGGCTTCGCGTGACCACACCGCGGGGGACCTTCGTGTGGCGGCGACACCAAGACCACCCGGTTGCGGGAGAGCTCTACCCCAGAGGAGGAGGAAGGTGGTTTGCTGATACCGAGTGTCCTGCCATCATCGCCAACCCCAGGGCAAGGGCGACTCGTGAACGAGCTGCCTCCAGTTGGGTCACCGGTGGTAGAGGGACAAGACATGGGATCAACTCCAGTCTCCGGTCGTTCCCCAGCCCGGCCGCAAGAAATTCAGCGCCGGTATCCCGAACGGCAACGGCGTGCGCCTAATAGGTTTTCGCCTTGAGAAGGAAGAGAAAAAGACGAGGACTTTGTGTTTTTTTCAGAACTGTAATTATTTTGTATTTAGTATGTCTGTACTTTGTACTTTCCAGAACTTCAATTATTCTCGTGTTTTGTTAAATTGTCATATCGTGTTACTTTGTGAGTATTGCACTGGAACGCCGTCGAATGGTATTACTGTGCTGAACTAAGTGTGGGGGAGTGTTGTATGGGTGACACAATAAGCGGGCAACAGCTAGCGCGCGCTCGTGCGTCTCGCGCCACTGTTCCTGGGCGCCATATCTATCTGAGCCAGCGCACCGTTTACACCACCCGCTGCTATCCTGCCGCTCTCTCACGCCCGTGACTATGTGTCGTACTCCGGTAGTCCTGCAATAAAGATGTGCCAGCGAAGAACCCCATCGGCCTGTTACTCCAGATACCACACCTTGATAAAACTTTAGCCTACTGAAACTGTCAGCATAGATATGTAGATGTTTTTCCCCCACATTCTGTGTGACCGAAGTTAAGATTTTACTTCCGTTTTTCTGTTTTCATGGCATTTAATAAACAATGCATCATCTCCTCTTTCTGTTTGTGATGCACCCAGCTTGTGGAACTAGCAGGTGTTGCTTCCTAGGGCTCTGTATGCTGACACTATGTAACTTCCAACCATTAAGACAGTTGTCTGGGCCAGAGGTATTACTCTCGCAGGATCTCGAAAATGACGGCAACTGCCAACATGTAGGCCAAGCATTTTTTAGTTGCTGCCATTGCAGCATCGCCCAGTTTACTTGATTTCTGGGGGTAAACCTGTAGATTACAGTCAAACCCGGATATATTGAATTCGAAGATCATAAAATATTTCTATATATCAATAATTAGATATACAAAAATATGTTAACTTAAGCTCCAGTTGAAATTTCCGCGCGTCTCTGCTAATACTGAAAGCCGCGACAAACGGGACCTTACCAAATGGAGCCGCTAAATAGTTTTGCTTAGTTGTGAAGATTGCAAACATTGCCGTGTTTACAAGACTGTGTTTGCGATCGTTTCCACGCGCACGACCTCCACGCAGCATTAGTGACAAAACACAAATTAAAAATTAAAAAAAAAATTTATATGTCTATGTTCGCTAAAACGTCATTCGCTCATGTGATATATGCCCCCCCGCCCCCCCTGCACATATGCTGACTTGGCGGTCTGCCAGCCCTGCAACGAGAGCTATACGTTCGCAGCGGGTACAATCCGATTGTGGGAGAAGCAACGGGAGGCTGTGCTTCGTTCGCTATGTTGAGTGTCCTGCCATGGGAGTTCGATACAGAAAAACAATGCTCCTATACAATTATATGCAATTTTTAAGGGGATGTTTGGACTGGTTGATATGAACAATAATTAGAAACACCGGTGTGATATAACCGGGCTCGACTGTAGCACTTGGTTCAATGTCGGATAAACCTTGCCTTCGTTACCTTCAAGTTTAAAGGAGTCGTGAAACGCTTTTTCAACTTTTTTCTGTTTAGCTTTCCTCCTCAACTCATAAATCGCGCATTGTACCAAACAGTTCAAGAAGTCGGAAAGAAGGGAGTCCCCTCTTGCTCGGAATCTCGCTTGTGTAGCCCGGACACAGCCATTGTCCCCCTAGAAGATTAGCCCGTCGCTCAAAATTCCGACTAGTTGCTTTCCCCACCCCGTTCACCCCGAAGCTGACAGTGCTGTGGAAGCTACGTGCTCGTTGGGCCAGCCACACATTTTCCACGTGATCACGCCCTCTCGCGCATACCGACCCGCAGAGAATGAGGTCAGGTGATGAAAGGGAGGCGGCTGATTGGTCCGGCAAGCGCGTAGCTTCCACCGCAATGTCAGCTTAGGGGTAAACGGATTAAGTGAGGTCGTGTGACGTGCACTTGGGCCCTGGTGACGCGCTGCGGGGGCCCGGTTATGGTGGTTAGTAGCCCGGTGACTCGCTGCGGGGTCCGCGGATGTATCACAGTGGAAAGGCGGAGAGTTTACAAAGGGAAGGAGGTACGAAATAGTCCGCTATGTTTTGCAAATTTTTTGTAGCGAAAGTCAGGCTTCTGACTTTCTACCTTCGTTCTTTTGGCCCACTGAACGATGTGCTATTAGTAAAATCCCAATAAAAATTTATTTACTCCAGCCCAAAATTCGTTTCATGGGTCCTTTAAGGGTCTTTACTACTTTGACCAACTTTTTCGAAGTTGAGTAACATAAAAGTTTGGGTTAGGTTAGACCTAATAAAAAAAACAGTGAAGACAAGAAAGTAAAGGGTTACTGACAAAACATAGCTCGTCACCCAGTTGCAGTTATTTTTTTCAAGTCTTCAGACTAACACCAAAGGCAATAGTGAACCATTAGATAGGGCCACTCCCCACCATGGTACTCTTTCACAATGCTGTACACTAAAATGTGTGGAATTTGCAGCAATATTTTGGCAAAGGGTAAATTATCTATAGTACCTTATGAACACTTTTACTAAATGCTGTTACACTGCCAATTGTTGCAGAAACTGGTGTCAATTTTCAAAACTGGTAAATTTTGTAACATTCCAAAATAGTCATATTGTCATTTTAATCTCCTTTATGCTTCCTAGGTTTCATGCTACTTCATTTATTTTTTTTTGTTCTCGGGTCTTTTTTTTTACTTACCTTCATTTGCATATTCATTCCTCCTGGAATGATATTTATGATGGGTGTCACCAGTGAGTGTCACTTCTACTGATTTGTGGGGTCCATTGTACCCTACAGTTTTGAAAAGCCCTTGTTGCACAGCCGTTTTGCGCAGATCTTGGCAGGCCTCTTCATACCAAGACGAAGTCGCCCACTCATCGTAGCATTGGAAGCTCAGTGTGGCTTATCAAAATGCTTTTTCATTCAATGTTTCTCTTGTTAAGCTTCAGTCCTGCACCTGTCCCGCAATCTCGAGCGGGCTGTCAGCCTTCAGCAACATAGCTTTTCCCAAGATCATGAAGAAAGGACAGGCTGCATCCTAACCCTGCTGTGTAGGACCGATTATATGTGCTACAACAGCCTCGAGTGAACATTTCCTGCCACCTGGGAAGTTGGAGCACATGCTCATATATTGTTTGTCTCAAATGGCACGCTCTGCTCGGCCATTTGCAGAAGGATGCTATGGTGATGTGAATCGGGGGGTTATCCATGGACTTCTGCACCTTTCAGTTTGCAGCTACAAAACGGCAACCTTGACATTTCTATACATATCTCTACTGAGCAAAGAGATTACACTCTTAGATTCTTCCCTACCTGGTTTTGCTGCTGTTCTGTCATCAAAATGGGTAGGAAAACCTTGCAAGGCCTGCAGCAAGTCCATGGTAGTCTAGGGTGCTCTAATTTTCACTTGTTCTTGCAATTCTATTAACCCATGGGTAATGAGTGCAATGGTAGCGGATCGTAGTAATTTAGGCTTTGCTGCTGTTCTGTCATCAAAATGGGTAGAAAAATCTTGCAAGGCCTGCAGAAAGTCCTTGATAGTCTTGGGTGCTCTAATTTTCGCTTGTTCTTGCAATTCTCCTATTAACCCATGGGTGATGGGTGCGATGGTAGCGGATCGTGGTAATTTAGGCTCAACAAGCTACAATACTCTCTTCAAAAAAATATGCTCCAGGGCTGTACCAAACATGAAGCAGAAGTGGACGGCTTGATCCTACATTTCTACATTTAAAAGGTTGAATTCCACTTCGTTCAGGATTCGTCCACATTGTCTGCTAAGTGTAACTCGTATCATTGATTTGCTGCACCTCCAAGAAAAAAGGTGCACGTTTGGTCCATGATCTCAGAGGTCCAGGCGTTTTTTTAGTAGGTGTACTTGTAGAAAGCAATCCTAACTTTTGGATTAGTTCATTATTACAGCGAAGCTGTTTATGGCTAGGCCTCCTTGAATTTTTCATGTGCGTCAAAAAAACTCTACGGTCACACTGCTACACGCACACGCCTTCCCCTAATAAAAGATTCGAAGTAAATAAGCAAAGTAAACCGTTGACAATTGCGCGTGCAAGATACCATCTTTTGCTTCAGAACAGTTAGTGCTGCAGATGCCGGCACATGGATCACCATTCATGCTTGGGGTCGATATTAAGGGTTTCTCAGATTTGCCGCTGTACGACCCAAGCCGGCCCACCACCTTCTCTTTGTCGTCGGTCCAAACGCTTGTGTGCCTATAGTTTCCTTTCCTTCTGCTCTCCTGGGGTGGTGGTCCCGTCGCACGTCTAGTTTCCTCCGGCTCCTCTGGGCAGCAATTGTTGGCCACACGAAATATTGACCACCAATCAAGATGTGTGTGCGCGTACCTTTCGTCATGATGACCACCGATCAAGACAATAAATGTGTTTGTACCTTTGTTCAAAGTTCTGTCACATCTGTGTTGTGTGCTAAACAGCTTCGTTGGTCTTCCAGCTCCACAGAGTGAAAAGGCTCATGATTTTTAATCTCAAATCTGGGCCTTTTGTTTTCAACAAAAGGCCCAGATTTCAACAGGCTTGAATATATTTGTTTTGTGGCGAAAGTTGCTGCTGTTGTACATCAATCGCTTAGAGTGCGACCGCAACGTCGGAACATGGAGCCCGAACTCCCAGGTCATAGCCGTAAACTCGCTGCAACACAAGCTTGTATGTAAAATACAGCCATCTGTATATTCATCCTTTACAAGCCCCTTTTCCATCAGCTCCTTCGATGGAACGTTGCCTTTCTGGAGGACTACTTCGATGAGCTCCGGAGATGTGACATGCCCTGGTAGCTCCATGGTCGATTCATTTTGAACTTGGGTAGCGGTTGGAAGCTACTTGGTCAAGGCCCCAAGCAACAAAAAATTTTACTAACATGTTCTATATCCTGGCGACTGCGCCAAGCTTATTCCTCTCTTTTGGGCTTTCTTCAGATTTTAACAACCTACTGATTGTCATCGTGGTTGGCGTCATGGATGCCACTGACGATCGCCACGAGTGCTCGGTGATCCATAAAGTAAGGGAGTAAGGCGAGGCACTGCATGCACGTGCCAACTCGCGGCAGTGGCTGTCGTGAACTGGGACGGATTAGCGCTCGCTTGGCGAACGAAAGCCTCAAACTGCCAGCACCATTAGGAAGATTATGCAGCTGTGGCGATGTTGGAGAAGGCATATGTTTTCCTTGTGATGTTGAGCGGTGAAGGGAGGTGTAAGTGGGTAATGTTGAAGTTGAGAGGTGAGTGGGGAACGCAAGCAGAGAAAAACTAGGCGAATCTCTGCGGGAAAGGCAGCTGTAAGGTGACGGGTTCTAGCAGAACAGTTTTATGTTTCGAGTTTGGTTTGAGAAGTAGAGATGTCAGTGAAATCAAACGGAGGTGGAAGTTTTGAAAACTATTGCGGCTAAGCGGCGACGACAATAACAATGTGGCTTGTGACATGAGCCACGTTAGCAGCGCGCGCCGCGTGGGCACTCGGCACTCGAACCCGGCCAGCCCGAGAGGGAATATCGATACCAGTCGGCTCCTTTTTTCAACGGCAAAGCTCTCGGACCAGCTACTACTCCATCCAGGCGTGTAAATAAACGAAGGGGCCAATTCGGCCTCTTCAAGTGGTGACCCGGAGACGGACACCGAAGGTGGACTTCATTGCTGAGGCATCAGCCAACGCATCGGCTGACCGGTAGCCCTCTACCACATTCGAACGTCCACTTCCTGTCCTGGGCCTGTCCTGTCCTGTTCAAAACATGGAGCGAAGCCCTTCCGAAGATGAGACGGCAGTACCTACACTGCAGGTTCGGCTTCCACCATTTTGGGCAAAGAATCCTAGGGCATGGTTCGCTCAGGTCAAAGCTCAATTTCACCTGAAGAGGATAAACGCACAACTGTCCAGATACTATTACGTAGTATCCGCCTTGCCACCGGAGATAGCTGACGAGTTCGACGACGTTCTAGCGGCAACACCACCGGCAGATGCCTACGATCATCTGAAGGCCACCATTCTACGGAGAAAAACCGAGTCCGCAAGCAGCCGCCTGCAACGCCTTCTCACTACAGAGGAGCTCGGAGACCAGCGCCCGTCACAATTGCTGCACCGAATGCGCCAACTGCTGGGCGAACAGGTCCCCCACGTGGAGAACCCCATCTTGCGCGAACTCTTCTTGCAACGCTTACCCCAGGGCATCCAGATGGTTCTTGCCTCAGCAACCGACATGCCCTTGGACCGTCTGGCGGAGATGGCTGATCGTGTAGCTGAGTACGCGGCACCGACCATCTCCACGCTGGTAGAGCCCCCTCCCTCGTCCACTGCTTTGCAGGATCTGCAGCTAAAAATTGACCAACTCACGGCGTCCGTTGCCGCCCTGCAACCACCTTCCGGTGACGCACGCCGTCCTTCGGGCCGCAATCCTCCCAACCATCGGAATTCATCTCGGGCACGAACGCCATCGCCGCCACGAGGTCAAGGTACCTGCGGGTACCACCGGAAATACGGACACCGCGCAGTCAAATGCCACCTTCCCTGTACCTGGCAGGAAAACACCCCGGCCGGTCACTAGAGGCGGTAGGTGACGCCGGCCGACCAGCAAGCCGTCTTTTCTTCGTTGCTGATCGGTTCACAGGTAACCGGCTTCTTGTCGACACCGGCGCAGAGTTGTCCGTCATCCCACCCACAACAGCAGACAGAAAAAACCTGAACTGTGGCGTACGCTTATTCGCAGCAAATGGAACTCCCATAGCAACTTATGGTTTGCGATCCGTGACCCTCGACTTGGGACTGCGCCGCACCTTCAGGTCGATCTTTATCATCGCTGAAGTTAAGTGTCCCATCTTAGGATCGGACTTCTTGGCTCACTTCAACCTGAACGTGAGCATGCGCCACCGTCGTCTTTTCGACGGCACGACGCATCTGACTGTGCATGGGACATTTACAACGACCTCATTCATTGGCATACGTCACATCACACCATCAATGGGATATGCAGCTATCTTAAACGAGTTTCCCGAAGTCACAAGACCCTCAAATATGGCGCAACCGGTAAAGCACGGAGTGACTCATACCATCGTTACCTCTGGTCCGGCTGTCTACGCACGACCTCGCCGCCTTTCCGGTGAACGGCTCAAAACAGCTCGCCGGGAATTCGAGCACATGCTCGAACTTGGGATTATCCGGCCTTCAAACAGCTGCTGGGCATCTCCTCTGCACATGGTGCCCAAAAAGGAGCCAGGGGACTGGAGGCCGTGCGGGGACTACCGTGCCCTGAATGCAAGCACGTTGCCAGACCGTTATCCTTTGCCCCACCTTCACGACTTCACGGAACAACTCGCCGGAACATCTATTTACAGTAAAGTTGATTTAGTAAAAGCTTATCATCATATACCGATCGAGGCATCCGACATCCCCAAGACAGCAATAACCACGCCGTTTGGGTTATTCGAATACGTTAGAATGCCCTTCGGACTAAGGAACGCAGCACAGACATTTCAAAGATTCATACACGAGGTGACACGCGGGCTTCCCTTTGTGTTTGCGTACGTCGACGACCTGCTCATCGCTAGCAAGTCACCCGAAGAGCATAAACAACACCTTCGCTTGCTTTTCGAGCAACTGCGCAGATACGGCCTTGTCGTCAACGCAACGAAGTGCGTTTTCGGAACATCCGATCTAGAGTTCCTGGGACATAGAGTAACGCCTCAAGGTATTCATCCGTTGCCATCTAAAGCCCAGATCATCAAAGATTTTCCCCAACCAACTTCTATTCGCAAGCTACGAGAATTTTTGGGTCTTGTAAATTTCCACCGGCGATTCATAAACAACTGCGCCCAAATTCTCAAGCCACTCACAGACCTGCTGCAATCACCCAAGAGCCCCACGGCACCGATCGACTGGAACTCAAGTGCACTAAATGCATTCGCCAGAGCGAAGCAGGCCCTCGTGGAAACAACACTCCTTGCTTATCCGCGACCCCATGCGCCGACTAGGCTCATGGTTGACGCATCCGATGTCGCAGTTGGAGCTGTACTTCAACAGTACGACCAGACGGGTTGGTTTCCACTCGGTTTCTTCTCTCAGAAGTTGAAGCCAGCAGAGACGCGCTATAGCACGTTTGGTCGTGAGCTTTTTGCCATCTACGCAGCGGTCAGACGCTACCGGCACTTCCTGGAAGGCCGGATTTTCCACGTCCTGACCGATCACAAGCCCCCTCACCTTCGCTTTTGATGCTAATCGGACCTCGTACTCGGACCGCGAAATTCGTCATCTCGCATGCATCTCCGAGTACACAACAGATCTGCGTCACGTGCCTGGAGCGAATAACGAGGCGGCCGATGCTCTTTCGCGTATCGAGACGCTCACTGCGCCCCATGACTTGGATTTCTCCAGACTGGCGAAGGCTCAACAAGATGACGCCGAATTGCAGACAATGGAAGCTTCTTCTACATCGTTACGACTTCGGCCAGTTCCGCTGCCGCTCTCAAACTGTGACGTAATATGAGACACCTCAACGGGGACACCACGGCCATACATTCCCCCCGATTTTCGGCGTGCCATCTTCCACTCGCTCCATGGCATCAGCCATCCCAATACTCGAGCGACCCGTCGGCTCATTTCCGCACGATATGTGTGGCCCAAAATGAACAAGGACTTTACCCTCTGGACGCGAACCTGTGCTCCTTGCCAACGAGCCAAGGTGCAGCGACATACCAAGAGCCCGCTGCATCCTTTCCGAGCACCAGACGCCCGCTTCGACCACGTGCATGTTTGCAAGTGATGCATCACTGTTTGCAAAAGCACACCTATTGATCTGTTGTGGCCACTGGCAGCACTAAAACACTCTGTCATTTTCGGCTTGAGCGTCATGCACCACCCTGACGGTACTACCATATAGAATTTCATCCAGCACTTTAATGACGCCCGCTATTGAGCGGCCAGAATTCCTTTGACAGCAGTTTCCTTCAATTGTGCCTTCACTGTTCGCTCTTCCAATGATTTTCTTTTCATGTCGAAATTTTGTTGCAATCGAACCAGAATGAAAAAAGACGTTCACAATCTCCTGTAATGCCGAATTAGAGCGTAGCTTTTGAGGAAGAGGAGGAGGGAAGGGTACTGAGGGGAGAAGGTGGAAAGTCCCCCACTACTAACATGGATGTGGATCAACGTGTGCTTAACACAAGTCACAGCAAATGCACATCTTTGGTGAGAGCATTGCGTGTAAATTTGACGGGAATTTAGCAGGGCAATTTTTTCCCCTAACTTTAGCGGGGAATTTTTTCCGCTAAATTTAGCGGGGAATTTTTTCCTCTAGATTTAGCGGGGAATTTTTCCGCTAGTGACGTCACTGATGACATCATCAGTGACTAGTGTTCCCTGAAGAAAGGAAGGTTTCTGGATTCTTGAGCACTCATTTTATGGAAACTATTTCGTGTTTCCTAAGAAACAAAACTTCAAAAAACTAAACATTTAAAAAAAAAAAAAACACTGGATGAGGTTTTTTTTTTTTTTTGATAAACTAAAGTAAAATTGTATCGCCTCATATTTTTATCTTTTAAAATATTTAGAGAATATATGAGCACCTTTAGCACTTCCTTTAGTAATTTCTTTAGGCAGAAAAAAAACCCGTGAGCTGTCATTCTTTCGTGTGGTTAATAGTTATCCTTGCACACGAAGGATACCACAGTTGGACAGTTTTGTTGACGCCAGGCAAATTTTTGTTTGCAGAAGGTGTCGTGCACGAACGAGGACGGCTGGTCTGTTGCCCTGGCCGAGTACATCCGCCACAGCGACCAGCCCATGCTGGAGTTGGGAGACAAGCTGCTCAGGAACTTCGAGGAGCAACTGCTGCCGTGCCAGTCGTTCGCAGAGTATTGCGATGTCATGGGTGGGTGTCTTGATCTTTTTGTGGACAATCGCTTGTTTTGTGCCAATCGCTTGTAATGGGTAGTAGTTTGTGCCAGCTGGCCTAACTTTCACAGGTGATAATTGTTTCTATAATTTGTTGAGGACACATTGGGACGGTGACACGCTGCAAAATGTAAAATTTTGTCTTTGAGAATTTGTAGTTTCTTTGCAAGATTTTTTTGTGCGAAAAGATTTTCTTCATGGCCAAATTCTGAAGTGCAGCTCTTATAGCAAAGGACAGTAAACTACAGACTACTTAGTAAACTACTATTGTTGCATACGTGGCAGCTTTTCGAGTGCAGCTCTTAGGCGCCTGTTCCCAGGTTTGTCGGCATCGGCGTAATTACGCTACATTCAGCGTAAGTCCTCAACTCAAATTCAATTCCCTACTAAATTTAGTGGGGAATTGAATTGGTGTTGAGGTCACGTGGCATAAATTTTTCAGCTAAATTTAGCGGGGAAACTGGGGGGGAGGGGAAGGTAAGGAGGAGGAGGAGGAGGAGGAGGAGGAGGAGGAGGGGCATACTTTCCCCTCCTCCTCCTCAAGAGCTGCACTTTAATTTTGCATTACAGAGATTTGTAAACATCTAATTTTTAATGGTTGTTTTAATTGGTTTTTAGACTGTATTGCAATTCTAAATCTTGTTAAAGGCAAATTTTTTTTCTTTATATACTAAAGTTATGATTACTCCGGTACATGCTTTCAGTAGTGCAGAAAGCTTTGCAGTGTAGAACCTTTGTTTCAAAACGTTGCGTAAAATGTGACAAGTGTTTTTTCTCACTTTCAGGTCTGCTTTGTGAAATTTCGAACCCAGATGCCTTCCTGTCAGAGTCTCTTCAGCTAAGGGTTTAATCTTAATTTTAATATTGAAGGTTTATTTAATAAACACATTGTTTGAACTTTTCTTGACATCTGTGTGTGTGTGCCATTTCATTCTGCAAGCATGAAGTGTCCCGACATACTTGAGACTTTTTGTAGTGCTCTGTTTGGTTTTTTTTGTTTATCGTGCCTTTTGTTTGTTTTTTGATTAGCGTGCCTCCACGACTGCATGCCTCATGCAGTGAAGCCAAGCTAGTGTTGAAGGGAACTTCCGTGCAAAAACTTAGTACCGTGTCTTTATCATGATTTGCAACTTCTAACACAATATGTTAAAGAGCTGGGATGCCGAAGGATAGCGAGCGTTACACATACCGCCTTGAAAAGCTGTCAGTTCCGACTCGAAATCAACCAGAATTCATGCCAATCCCTTTCGTTTTACATCCTATGCACAGATTGCTCGAATTCTTCGATCAACGGCATCTGTCAGAGTGGTCAGGAACAGAAAGTAGCATCGGCTGGAACTCTGAGTTTTACACATATCGGTCTTATTTATGTTGCCTGTCATGGAAGGGAAAATCCACCGTAATTGGTAGTATGTGTTATTTGGGCATTCGAATAAAGTGATTTTGGCAAGCACTACAATATTAGGTCTTCATACAGTCGAGTTCGGTTATATCACACCCGGGTATTTCAAATTATTGTTGATATCGAACAGTCCAAACAACCCCTTGAAAATCATATGTAATTGTATAGGAGCATTGTTTTTCTGTACCAAACTCCAATGGCGGTAACACTCGATATAGCGATCAAAACACAGTGCCCAAACCAGCATATGCGCATGGGGGTACGCAGCGAGAGAGCAGTTATTAAAAAAAAAGAGCAACCGTAGAAAAAAAAAAAAAATGGAGGATGGCAAAAGCAAGGGGAAGGGCATGCACCGTGCACATAGGTACGGAGGGGGTGCCCGCTGTTGGAACGGTAGTGTGCGCTCTTTCCCCGAACTCGCACTGTCGCTGCGCGGCCCCTTAGCCCCAAAATAAAAGTAAGCGAAAAAAAGAAAAAAAAAAAGTCTTGTCAAGTTGCATGCGTCGACAACAGTTGAGCAATAGCACTTTGAACGCCTTATATATTTGTTTACCTTTTTCTCTAACCGTTTTTGCTTTGAGTTTTTTTTTTTTTTTGCTGCTTGAATTTAGTAAGGCTTTTTTTTTTTTTGTTGCTTGCTTAACTTTATTCTATGAATCAGTTCTTTTATGCGGCCTGATTTTTCTGTTTTTTTTTTTGTTTTAATTATTTTTGTGTTTTGTTGTCGGCACTGTGTGGAGGTAGTAGCCAGGCGTAAACGATTGCAAACACAGTCGTGTGTAAACGCGGCAGTGTTTGTGATCTTCACCAACTAAGCTCTACTGTATTTAGCGACTCTTAGAGGCTCTATTTGGTAAGGTCCCGTTTGTCGCAACCTTCGGTATTGGCGGACACACGCGGAAATTTCAACTGGAGCTCAAGTTACCATTTTTGTTTATCAAATTATTGATATATCGAACCCTTTGAATTCAATATATCCGGGTTCAATGTATATGCAAGCATCGGGTTCGACTGTGTACGTAAACATTGATTTATCCATTCTAGCCCCTTCTGCCAGTACCAGGGTCGACTTGAGGTCACGATGAACGAGCTTCCAGAGTGGTTGACATAGTTTTTCTTTTCAGATTTTGCACTGCGCAAAAAATATTTTCCTACAGTGGCTAACCGTCACTTAAAGACAGCAAATGAAAGACCAATATTAAAACCTCTTTAATCGACTCAATTAATTAGACACCCAAATAAAATGTCACCCCTATGGGAAAACCCTTCTTTGAAGTTCTTTCCCCTCTTTGCAAAAGGCCAGGGTCTGTGGGTAAGAAATGAGTAAGAAATTCGCCCGGGAGTCGGAGCGTTGTGCCGTATACAAGTTCGGCGGCCGTACATCCGACGTCTTCCTTAAAAGTGGATCGGATGCCTAAGAGCACCAAGGGTAGATGATTGACCCAGTTGCTCCTGTCCTCTCTAGCGATGAGTGAGGCCTTCAATTGCCGATGTAGTCGCTCGACCATGCCATTAATTGGCAGACGGATGGTAGGCGGTCGTGTGTATATGGCGCGCTCCCAGCATTTTAGCGAGTGATTCGAATAATCTGCTTTGGAATTGCCTGCCACGATCTGTGGTGATGATGGATGGGCAGCCGTAGCGTGCAATCCAGCTGGTGACGAATGCTTGTGCGACGGTTTCCGCGGTGATGTCGGGTATTGGTGTGGCTTCTGGCCATCTAGTAAAACGATCCACGCATGTGAGTATATATCGGAACCCCTGGGATGGCGGGAGGGGCCCGACTATACGGAGGGAAAGCCGTCTGCTCTTTCGCGCAGGCCGGTGGCGTGACGTCACCTCGCCGCGCTCTGATTGGAGGATGGCTCCGGGCGGGAGCTCGGGGGTAAACAAAGCGGTGTCGTCTCTTCTCCGCAGCCATTGCGAAAGGCCTTTTCTGTGGCTCTCAGAAATCCACTGCTACTGCTTGAACGAGGACGCGGCATACGGAAAAAAGAGACCGGAAATACCTCGAAATGTACGTTACTTCGTTGGACGGGAAAGAATTTACCCTGGGAGCATACGAAGCACCAATATGCTTCCCGGTCTCCGGCGGTCGAATGTTGATGTGAGCCCCCCCAACGTCAGCACGGTGATGTGCGACGCGAGTGAGCCTTTCTACTTTTTGGCGGAGACCCTTTTTCGTCAGAAAGTGTCTCGGTGTCTCCGTAAAGCATCGAAGTGTAGCTGCAGCCCTCTTCGGCGAGCTGAACGGGCTGCCGAGCTTTCGAAGGCCGATCTCCCGCAGCGCTGGCACCCGGAGAACCGCGCCATGGCGCTCGCTAAGGTGAGTTACGTCGTTTATGTACACTTCGCATCATTCACAAACAGTTCAGTTGCACGTGAAAGGTGTTATGTACTGTCTGACAGACTGGCCGCTATCAGCTCGAGGACACTCGAGGAGCGTGGGCACTGAGCGCTCGAGGCTCGGGGTGCGCGGGCAGACGAACGCCGGGCTCCGAGCTGATAGGCGCCAGTCTGTCAGACAGTACATAACAAAAGGAGTATAGCAAAGTAAAACGGAATATTTACGGAAAAGCAGTGGATTAGGCGATCGGTGTGGTACGACCGAGCCGAGTGCGCAGTCGTCTGTTTTTAGTCTTTCCCCCCAGCGACAGTTTGTATGCCACTTGTCCAAACAGATAGTGTGGTAGGATATCTGTATGTGGGTCATAAACTTCGCAGTCACGACTCGGTGTTCGATGGTAGCGTATTTTAGCAGTGATTGCGCCGTGTCTAAGTGACATCCGATGTCACTTCATGCCAGTGGCGTAGCGAGGGAGGGGGGTTCAGTACCTCGCACCCCAGATCCCCCCCCGGCCCCCAAAAAACCTGGCTAAGCCAACGCTTCACGCGCGCGATAAAGCGCCGTCCTAAGGTGTTCAACTCAAGACGCACTGTTCTTCTGATGCGTGTTCCAGTAGTCGCTCGCCGCTGATTTGTTTCACCATAAAGCGCCAGTGAGGCAAATGCTGCGGGGGCGAGTAGCATGTTTTCGTACCTGCCTGCATGTTTTCTTAGGTCCGTTAATCTGCAAGTGCTTGTGTTCCCCCTACCCCATCATTCCAACAGAATCCACCTGCTGCCGGGCTACTGAAAGGACCCTCTGCTCGGAGGACATGTTGCAGGCCTCGTGTAATGCCCTCGGCGCCTGTGCGACTTCCAGGGGGTCTGCGTTTCACGGCCCCGTTACCAGCTGGGAAGTTTTCCATGGAGGTAAGATTATGAAAGAAACCACTCTATGCACTCAGAGGTAGCTTTCAGAAGTTGTGGAAGCCAAATACAAATGCTGATATCTTTAGTAAAAAAAAAATTCATATTACTTGCTTTATGACTTATACATCTCTATTTTGCAAGCCACATATGGCAGGAAAGTGTCACGTTATCTCAACCTGGTTGCTCAAGGCACTGAAAAGCTACCTTTTGCAGATCACTGTACCGTTGTCATTTATTATATGTTATTCCTTGGCAACGGGGGATTGGTGGCCGAGGGGGCTTCCACGCACCAGCTCGGAGAGTGTGGAGTGAAAGCTCGCGCTGCAGAACCCAGGATCGTGTGTTCAAGCCCCGCATTTGCCCGTTTCGATCTGGATGAGCATTGTACCGGCGTGCGGTCGTGTATCACTACTACGTGATGCACGTTAAGGGCCCCAGGCTAGCGGTCATCTACAGCTGGGAGAGTCATCGCCCGTCAAGGCAGATTGAGTTTGAAACTGTATAAATATACACACAACCCGATTCCTCGGCACGCTGCTGGTATTGCTGTGCTGATGTTTGGACGTTTTTTTTTTTTGGTCGTTGAAATGACTACTGTGGTGCTTGGGTGAAATAACCTGGTCAATTACCTCCTCGGCCGTAGTGTGTCGTTCACTTGTTACTCTCTCTTCTCTTCTGGTTAATGTGGCTCAGATAACAGTCATGAAGTCAGCCCGGCTGAAGTTCTCTCGACGCCACATTCTCACATCTCTGGCCGATCGTCCTGGTTTCGCGCCAAACTCACACAACTTGTATTCTTCGATACTCCCGAATGCGCCTCGGTCGCCCGCTCCGCCGCTAATTTCAGTCCCGTGCCCACTGTTTTATGGCAACCTCCTTGACATGACAAATCTAGCTTCTGTATCTGGCCATCAATATGGGTTAGTGCTCAATTTGTAAACTTGATGTTTCAAAGTAACAGTGCGAGCTTCCTCCAGCATCTACCAGCAACCAAGCAATGACAAAAACGAAAGCTTTAACTTCCAAGACTAAAAACCCAGGAGTATGAGAACACGCTGGCCAACCCTGCTGAGGACAAGCCAGGAGTGGGACAAGCATGTAATCTCAGTATATGGAGAGGTGTCCTCGAAGTTCGCAGCTTTAACATTGTGGTAGTGTTTGAGTTGGTTCGAGTCTCAAAAGAGCAAATAAGGCAATGTTATTTATTTTGATTTGCATCCCTTGGATGCTGGCAGGTGTTTGGTACGAAGGGAATAGAATAGACATGTTCATTTATGCATTCGGTTGCTTCAAAATAGGCTTTCACTGATTTTAAGTTGGTAATGGCATGGGAGGACAAATACGCTGCTCAGGGTGTAACCGGACCGGATCGTTTGACTACTGAGACGACTCTTTTACAGGGGACGACATCCTGTCCAGCACCAGCTTCACCGTCTGGGACCAAGTGCACGAGGGGGTCGCATGGCAAGCACATGAAAGGAGGGCACTGCGACCTTGAGGTCAAGCTAGTGCATCTACCATTACAGAGTCCTAAATGGATGCCAATTGGTTCTGATGACCTTATGAAGGTGAAACGTCCCTGGATCTAAAGGGAAAATCTGATTGAAGGCGAGCTGAAGTTGTTTCTGACTTTATTCTCTTATGACTTGAAAGTAATCTGCCTACTTCATGAACTTTGAAGATGCAAAATTTGTTTCCGTAACTGTCCCACTTCAACGTAATGTGCACATTGAAACCTCTTCCTTTTCTTTTTGTTTTTTGGCGAGAAAAAAAAAAGCCAACGAATCTCCCTCTTCCTTTTCGCAATGGGGAGGTGTGGAAGACTGATTGGATATTTTATATACGCAACCAGTTTCATAAGTGAATGAAGATAAAAGCAGAATACATGTTCACAGATTATTTGTGAATCCTTAGACTTGGTGAAGTGAGTAATTTATGTTCAAGTCATGTAATTATGAAGTCAAAACCAGCTTTAGTGCATTTTTAAGAAGCCTTTTAGACCTGAGAGTTCTGCTTTGACTCAGCAATACACAACTCACCTTTGTTATTCCTATAGCACAGCCGAAACTATAAACACGAGCATGTTGCCTGACCAATGCTTGAACTGCCGTGAAATCGACGAAGTCCCTATCCTTCGAGAACAAGTTTCAATGGGGATAGTCGAAAGACCAGGGTATTTATTGCACACGCATACTTGATTTCAAGCTTGCAGATTGAAGTAATTGTTTATTGAATCCATTCTCAAACATGTCTGAGATTGTATTGGTTCATATTCACAGTATATTTATTTTTCATTTCAGCAAGGAATAATTTAGAGACAGATGTTGGTGTTCAGGCGTGATGCTTTTATTTTCATAACATGCAAGAGTGCAAAAAATTAGATTTGGGCTTTCAACTGATCTTTTTATGTATTCTTCCAAACAGCATAGCAAGCAATAATATAAGGGCTACAGCTGCAAAAGTGGCTACACCTGGCATCTCATTTGTTTTATAGCGTGTACAGGTGAGACACTATACTCCGTTTCACGGTCACTTGGCAAACATTGCGACCCAGTAAGAGCATCGGAGCCAGACACATGACAACACTCCACAGTCGAGTACTCGTTATCGCCACAGCAAGAGCACCATCTGCGACAAAACATAGTTCTAGGCTTTGTTTTTTTTCTTTTTCTTCTTCTTTTAGTAGTGTTGCCGTCGGATTCTTCGGACCGCAACACTACACGACACGACACAATGTTACTTATTAACGACACTTAATATAGATCAACACTTTTGAGAAAAACATGGCTTGTGATCGATGTTTAAACAATCGTAGCCATGAATCGACCACTTCCGCTCAAGACATCGCCCTAGCATTAGCACCCGCCACAGATTCATGGGCAAATTGAGCATGTGGTTGCCTCATAAAAGTGTTACTAAAGACCTCGCTACTCTAGCGGACGGTAATGTTGCTGCAGTGGACGTCCATCCGAAGTTGTTTGGTTTCTGAGCAGACGACAGCCAGTTCTGGTGGGTGGTCCTTGCATTTGGCGCGGTGACACGGACGCTCCTGTGACATGCTGCCATGTGCCTCGCTCCGACATTCTTACTGGGTCGCAGGAGCCGTAGCCTCCACAGTTCACCAAGCTGTTGTGAAACAGAGTGTAGACTAAGTTGTCTGCTAATGAAAGTAGCGTTGCCAGCATCATGTATTATGTATGAAACAGTGTATACTTCGAGAAAACAAATAAAGCCATTCATCCTTTCCACTGATTGTTTTGGTTCATTAGTAAAACTTGGTTCAGTGAACTTTACATTTCAGCATTAGCATAGATACAACAGGTAAGGTCAATTACAAGTGCTTTAGAGCAGTCCAAACAGTTTCCAAGTGGCTCAGGCAAAGCAGCTGACATGGTATTACCCCCAGGAAAGAGACGAGACCTCCTTGATGAATCTACTTCAGCCGCAAGGCACACCAAACTGAATATTGGCGTTTCTAGGAAATTGGGATCAACCAAACAATTCCATGGAAAGGTACACCACCAACAGCTTTGGTGTGAGGGTGAGCCCTATCTGCAGCGACAATACTGAAGCCTCGCATGCAACCATCACTAACACATGCAAGTAGTCACTCAGTGCCTGGCATATTTGGGCATTGAAGCAACAAGGAGAGATCATCAATGAGTGGACTAGGAATGTGGATCCAAATGGGACTGTCTTCACAACCGCTGTATGACCACCATCTGTTGGAGTGTTTCTGGATGTCAACAGTCCATCTGGGACCTAGAAATGACAAATGATGTTAGAAAGTTTGTCACTTACACACTGAGTCCCAGTCTGCTGAGCGGACAAAACAAAAATATGTACATGTTAGCCATTGTTTACTCCCGTGTCAATTCCATGGGGCGCTCATTAGCTAGGCTTGGATAGTGCACGATATCCGAATTTTCATCTTGGTATGGGAACGAAAAAGGAGACAAGCGACACACAAAAACACGTCAGACACTGACGGCGTCGATGTGGTTCGAAGATACACTGCGCAACACATTTTGCAGAAAGGCGGCATCGGTACTTCGTTGGCAATTCGCTCATACTGGCTAATGTGAAACGGCAAATTTGTATTGTCCGAGTTGGTTCACTGTATTACACGTAACAGCCATTCCAATTTCATTCCTGAAAAAAAAAAAAAAAAAAAAAAAAAACGATCGCGTTTTTGTGGTAAGCTTTGAGCTCTGTGCTTTTCTACAGTGCCATGATCACAACCGTAGACTGCAACTACTATACCAAATACGATGTATGACTATACTGCGTCTCATCTAAGTGCGAACGAAGCGAAAATTACAAACGCGAGAACGCACTGCAAGATCGCACATGGCAGCTATGATCAAAGCTCGGGACTTGCCTATGTAGATTTAACTTCGATCGCATTTAAAATGAAACGGAACATAGTTTATACGGCCTCCGTGCAGTTTCGAGTCGAAATGACGAGTATATATTCCTAAATATCACCTGCGAAGATGGGCTTCGGAGGATCGCGAAAACGCTACATTCTCGGCTGTTTTTCGATTAATAGCGCCTATCGACTCCGCCACACAAGATTTCTAAAGACGTGCTAGAAGGAAAAATCTGTCGTTTTCGTAAAGGAAGAACAAGATAAAAGGCAACTTACCGGTACAATCGGGCGGCGGTCTCGTAGTGACCGGCGCAACCGGCGTTTCAATCACGAGGCTAGGCAAGCGCCTTCTCTATGATGCTCTTCGTCGTCTTCATCTTGGAATCTTCGAAATGCGTCTAGCAGACGACGGAGGAATCGTAAGGGGCACAAAGCTGCTCGATCTTGTGGACTCGGCAAATTTTAACCGGGCTACAATAAATAAAAGACTCGCGGTCGCCGCTACAGCACGGCCGCCATGGCCGACGCCGATGTTTGTTTACCCCCCGGCCTCCCCGACATGTGCGAGGGCGGAGCTTAGCCGGAATCGTCATCAACCTCCTCTCCCGCCTTCGCGCCTCCTTTCTCATGCGCAGAAGACGAAAATGAGCCCACTTGCGAGGCGTATAGGAATGTGCGCATTTGCATTTCGGACGCACCATGAGCCAGAAATAGCGAGGCTTTGCCGGCAACCAGTAGAAGCACTCGCGGCATGATCAATCAATGGCGATACTTGGGTTAGTCAGAACATCCGGCACTTTCGGTATCACCGGATACCCGGTGCCACCTGCCTTGAACATGATGGTGTACAGGCCGTCCACCATGGCCAGGTACAGGAGGTAGGGCTTGTACACTGCAAACTCCTTGGGCTCCTGGTCGGCCAGGGCGGAGCAGCCCTGGGGGCTCAGGTGCCGCGCATGCGCCAGCACCAGCATGCGGCGCACCAGGGACACCCGCCGGGAGCGCCACTTGGCAGGGGACCACACTGCCAGTGCCATGGTGGCCCAGTAGCAGGGGCCCTCACTCTACAATGAAACAAACTGATTATTCGAAGAATGGTAGCTCGTAACCCTTTCCTACGAGCCAAAGATCTTTTAACGCAGAATCTGTTGTAGGGCTGGGTCTCATGGGAAAAAGCGGCACGTTACACTCGACTTACACATGATCTTACATGATCACACGTGACACCCAGACGTCATGTAACTTGACATCAGGTTCGGATGTAATGTATGTCATGTGACGTCGCTCCTGTGACCCTTTGACACCATGTTACAACACACAGAAATAGTGCATGCCAAGCAAACCAAACACTGCGTTGTCGGAGACAACACATTCTGTGTGTCTCCGAGTTTATAAGATATGATCAAGACATGCTTATATTCTTCAAGTGTTCAATGTTCATATGATAATATCCTTAGTGCAGTAGAACCTCTCAGTTCAGTCAGTTCACCTCTTTGGAGTTAAAACCATCCTGACATCAGTAACACCTGTACGGTTAAGTGAAAACTCTCTGCTCTGCCCTAATCTTCTCCATATTTGTCTCACAAACGAAGCAGTGCTATACCTTGCTCGTGTCTCGGATGGAGGATCCAGAGATGGCCTTACCTCGAAGCAGTTTTCAATTTGCCGCTCTGGTGACATCTCGAGAAAGTTGGACAGGTTTTTCTCTTCTCTGGCCACACATCTTGTCCTGAAAAGTCAGAAACAGTTCTTGACTTCCTCCCATGGACAGACAATTTATTCACGAAGATGCGATGAGGTTGGTGTTGCGAGAGGAACCGGTGCGAGTATACAGCTTTGGAAACATAACTTGCAGGGTAACAATAGATTTAGGTTTGGGCAAGCCAGCGGGCACGGAGAGAGTAACTAAATATCAGTGCGTCATATTTTAACCGGACGACGTGGAAACCTCCTCCACCTACGGGGGCGACCCGCGGTGCTGAAAGCATGCGATATGCGACATCTTAGGTCCCGGGCTTACTACTGGTCAGAGCCGCTAAAAGCTTCTTTTTAGTCGAAATACAAAATATAAGTGGTGCGAACAGTTTCAATTATTTATAAAAGTAGTTTTTGTTCAGTACTTTAGATGAGAAAAGAAACAAATGCAGTTTATAAAGTGGGGCACGCCGTCGTCTGTGGTCCGCTTTCCGGCAGTAAAATCGTAAAAGTGGTTAGGCCTAAGAATGGTTGCGTCGCTCTCCGTGCTGAGTGAGCTTCATAGGGTGCTTTTCCTTTGGCAAAAGGAACGCCCTAAAAAGATTCGCAATTTTCAAAACATGGTCACTGTGGCGCGCACCCACCCAGCCGTGGGGCGCCTCCATCGGTGGAGACGTGCCACAGTACCTTGCCTCCAAATATGTGTAAATTTTTCGGGAAAAAAAGGGTCTTCACTATGCAAGTAAATAAGGCATGTTATTTATTAAGATTTCATTCACGCTGCTCGTTAGATAGTTAATCATGTCCAATACTTTTTTGTGGTCGTTATGAATATGCAAAAATTTATTTTGATAATATTCACACTTCGCTCTTTTTCAAGTCAGAGTTCAATTTGTTTCTAAATTTTGTGAACTCAAAAGCATGATACTTGCAGATTTTTCCCCCGATTCTTTTACACAGTTCACCAGTTGTCCACGGTTTTCTAATCTTTCTAGTAGGGTTGTGCGAATAGTGGATTTTGAGTTTGAATCGAATTCGAAGCGAATAGTGATTTTGGTCGAATATTTTCGAATCGAATATCGAATACTTACCGTTCAAGAAACCTTGCCATTTTTAGAGGGAAGTTTACAGAAATACTTCCAAACTGGACTTCTCACGCTGTCGTTAGTCCATCTTGCCAACCGACTTAGCTGCCATCATTTTGACGATGTCGATGTCATCCACTCACCTTGTCGCTGTAATAATATAATATTGCTTCGAAATATTATAATTTAAATGTTTTGAAACCGTGTTTATGAGTTTTATCGGAAATAAAAGTTTCTGAGCTATTATGCATGCTATGAGAAATTTCTCAAGGTGTTTATTTTTATCCTAAACTTGTTTTTCTAAATTTATATCTGGACGTGGCGGTGGTGAGAGAAAGTCCAGGGCGCCAAGATTGGCGAAGACGGCGCCGGTGTCTCTGGAGTTCGTTGCTCGGTTTCTTTTGCCCGTTATTAAAAAAGTTGATGAAATAATTACGATGAATATATTTCAAAGTTCCCACCATAGTATTTATACCGTTTTGCCGAACGTGTGAGTATATTCTTATCTTAGATATCGTTTTTTTCTGGTCTTTAGACAGTAAAAAAACTTACGACCGCGACTTTGCGAACACTTCGAAAAGCACGAATATTACAACTGCTCTTGAAGCGAATATCGAATAGAGTACTATTCGAAACTACTATTCGAAAATTCGAATATTCGCACAACACTACTTTCTAGGTCTTTCTTTACTTTCCCGGAGGGGAAAAGCTGCATCATAACAACGCTTGAATTTTGTCAGGCAGCTTTTATTAGCAACTGATTAAAATAGTTAAGTGGACGTTTCAATATTTTACCAATAACCAAGGTGGTGGGTAGAGGTGCTATCCTAGCTGTTGCACCAGTCTGTCTGGCGGCCACCGCACAGAGAAAAAAGGGGCCGAGCACTTACGTGTTGATGACGTAGACGACCATGTGAAGGATGTAAGGGATGAGGTGCATGTTGCTCTGGGGGCCTCCTCCCCCGCTGTCTTCGCTAAAGGAGCGCTCCTGAGCAAAGCGGGAGATCAGCAGCTTCAGGTCGTGCAGGGTGGAAACATAGCCCACATCCAGATGACCCGTGCAGTCCTGGATGTACGTGTTGTGCCTGAAACGGGGGGTTGAAAACATCACAATGAAAGGAAGGTCACCACTTCCACACAAATCAAAGAAACCAGAAAAAAAAAAGCTAATTAAAAAGAAGAGGAGATGTGTTCTTAGGAACATGCTTTTAAGAAACCTATTTCACTGTTCAATATAAGAATCATTAGCTTAAATGACATTTCCACTAAGCACACACCCAGTGCAAGTGTGATTTGAGTCAACGATTCTTGTACTGTAGACATGCACAAGATGCAGAGCTTGCATTTGTGCTTTGCTGGCATCTATGTTGAAACATACTGCAGTATTTGTTGTAATTGCAATTAAAACCATTGATGCAAGCACAGCGCAGTAATTAAGATGCGTATCTTAATTCCAGCTTCACCAGCTTCTGATGGAAGTAAACGAGTTTAATTCATGGTAACTGTTACTTGAAATTCGACAATTTCAGATACTTAGCAGTTTGTTATAAACATCACATCTATGGTCGCTGTCATCCACTCTGTGTCACCTTTAGCTTGCCAAGGGAAGTCTCAGTGAAATGCCAGTCACCTGTTTGAGGCTTCCAGTATACTCCTTTTCGCGTGACCAGGTTATTCCCTCGCTTAACAGGACGACAGTTAAAATGGTACGTGTAATCCTCTCTCCAAAATGCATGTCCGCAACCCCGTTTATAAGACTGCATGAACACCCCTCATGCTTGCAGTGCGGAATTCCAGTTTTGTGGGTATGGCACTCATCACTCACCTGGCCAGACAGCTGGCGAAGGCAGACTCTGGCACCTGTGGCCCCCACAGAGGCAGCAGACCATTGCACTTGGTGTTGGCGTTCTGCAGGGCCGCACTCTCCCACTCGTCACGACCCCTGGCATGCCTAGGAGAGAAGGGAAGGAAGCAACAACTTGTTGGCTCAGTAAGGTGCCAGTGGCGCAGCTTGCTCTTTGCTTGATATAATTCGGTCGCAGCTGCATTGTAAAAAGGCCCTATCGAGCGTAAAAGTCGGGGTCCAGCGTTCTTTGTATGTCTTGTGTTGTTGCGGACCTTTGTCTATTGCGTTCCAACGCGGCACGCCCGCCATGCCTGTCTCTTGCACGCAGCGTGGCGCTTGTGTGGTTTGGCGATCTGTGTTAGAAAGTGAGCGAGGGGCCCCCTTACCGCGGCTGCAGTGGAAAAAGCGAAAATATGTAGGCGAGCTGCTCGATAGAGGACCGGAGAGCACAGGAGAACGCGGCCATGTGGATATTTCGCATTGGCGGCTGCCAGAGGGGCAGGGGGGGGGGGGAGGGAGAGAGGAAGGGGGAGCATTGAGGGTACATGAGTGTAGCATGAACAGTGGGGAGGTAGATAGCGCTTTCCCCGTGATCATGTGGGTTTCTGGGAACAGCGGCCACCTATGCCTACAGGGGGTGAAGAGCAAAAAAGAGCCTTGCCACAATTGACGTGTATGTGTGAGAAACGACAGGGGGAGAGAGAGCACTGTGCACCTCTGCCGTAGTGTGGTACAGTAATCTCTCGTTATAACGATGTCTCGGGGCGAGGAGGAAGCGTTCTACAGAATCAAGGTCAGAGGAAACACGCCACCACCCAAATATGCCACAAGCATAACCATCGGTACGGAAGTCACCAACAGATGGACTGTGCTGCCCGTCGGTGCCCCTCGTCTCTCGGTAGTCCTCACAATTTCTGCACCATTAACCATAACCGAGTCCCGGCAGTACCATAAGGAATCTCGACAGCAGTTGCAGCAGGAATAGACCTTGAGTTCCGTTTCCATCTAGGACTCAAAAAAAAAAAAACACTTTCAGCCTTTCCTCTTTGGTGAAAAAGGAAGACTAGCGAAGCTGTTATCTTGACGACGTCTAGGACGATTCCTAGAGGACGACGTTTAGGACAATCTCAAGGACGACTTCTCGGACGACCTCAAGGACGATGCCTAGAGGACGATGTCTAGAGGACATCAAGAAGAACCTCAAGGACGACATCTAAAACAACCTCGAGGGCAACCTCAAGTACAACGTCTAGGACGACCTCAAGGACGACTTCTAGGACGACCTTGAGGACAACCTCGAAGACGACGTCTAGGACAACCTACAGGATGACTTTTAGGATGACCTTGAGGACAATCTCTCAGACGACCTCAAGCACGACGTCTAGGATGACCTCAAGGACGACGTCTAAGAAGACTTCTTGATTGTCGCCAAGAGAAATTCAGCCTTTCCACTCTGGTGAAAACCGGAGTGGAAAGGCTGGAAAGGTTGCCGCCATCTATGAGCGATGGCGGCAACCAGACAACCGGTAAGCCAATTGTCTGGTTGCCGCCGTCTTTTATAGATGGTGGTAGCTGCCCAGAGTATTGTGGCGACATTTGTTTGCTGGCGGACATGATCCTAGGAAAACTACCATAATATTCCGAGTCATCGCCCGCCCCCCCGCCGCCTGAAATCCATAAAAAAAAAGTGGGGTGGGCCATGTCACGGCGAGTGAGTACAGCAAGTTGAAAAAAGCAGAAAAAACTGCCCATTTTTCTCTGCGTATCTAGCGCTGCTGCACAAGAGATACATTAAACCCAAAACTCAATTCAGTTTTATTGTTATATAGAAAAAATGCTCACGAAAGTATACTTTACTATCGCGAAGTTCGTTGCTTGCATACGCGCTAGGAACAGTGCCAATCTGCACACAGCGCAAACGTTTTTTCCATGAAAGCATGTCACCCCTATGTTCTCCGAGTTAGTAAAAAAAAAAGAAAGAAAGAAAGTCTAAATGGAACAGCGCGGAACATAGGACAGAAGGAACAGGACAACACGAGCGCTGACTTACAACTGACTGTTTAATGAGAAGCGAAGGAAGAAGAAGAAATAAGAAGCGAGGGAAGAAGAAGAAATAAACTGAAAATAAGGATTAATACAAAATACTTGCAAAGGAAATAACTAAAAGATGAGGCAAATCCTTATTTTCAGTTTATTTCTTCTTCTTCCTTCGCTTCTTATTTCTTCTTCTTCCTTCGCTTCTCATTAAACAGTCAGCTGTAAGTCAGCGCTCGTGTTGTCCTGTTCCTTCTGTCCTATGTTCCGCGCTGTTCCATTTAGTCATGAACCAACTAGCCCATCAAAGCACACTGCTCAAAGAAAAGTCCACAAGAAAATAGGAAAACCAAACAAGCGCAACGAGCGAGCGGACCGAAGAAGTGACGAAGAGCGATCCTGGAAAAGCAGAAAAGTCGGCGACCGCGTTGGCGAATACTTTGGCATCGGGCCAAGTCAGGCGCCTTGTCAATCGCAAGCTCTTGTGCAACTTTCTTGTTTGGTGCGTACATGCATGCATCCGTGCATGGCGTGCTATCAATGGGGGTTTGGGATGCTCTACAAACGTCTGTGTAGAGCTAGGGCATTCCAGCAAAGCTCTATTTGCCCATTGGCATTGTCTAAAACATTGCACTACTGCGGTCGCGATGAGCGAGGAGGAGAGGGTTCGCAGCGATCTTACTTCGGCAGAGAGAGACTTTGACCTTACACTCCACGCCAGGATGTGGGGCGTTTGCTTACCACGTGATCCCTGACTGGGTTACTGCTTGTGTTATCTTTCAGATTTTTTTTTTAATTTTTGTTTTGTCGGGTCAGTTTTTTTGCAAGCAAAACAAACTTTTATTTTGTTATCTCCATCGTTTTCTTTTCGCATGGATACACTACCACTTCGGGGTCGCTCACGGAGGAAATGCGTAAACACGAAGAAGTGTCTTTCCCTCCTTCATTTTACTTTGTTACGGACGTCCTCCAACTGTAAGGTCTGTGGGCGCGTCATTTGGGTAGGATGAGTGTTCAGGATCGCGGAGTCCCCGTTGGGACAGACTTCACATAAAAATGCAAAATAAATATTACCCCCCCCCCCCCCCCCCCTTTTTCGTGGCTCCTAAAAACTGCAAAAACGTTAACTAAAAAGAAAACAAACACAACAACAAAAGCACGCTGCACATTTACGTGATTTTCGCCAACTCTCTCCTTATCTATATTTCGTCTTTCTCCCCAGTCCAGTTTTGGTTTCGGTTTCGAGCAGTTGCGTTTTAGGGGTCTAGCCTTGTCCGTCCGTCCGTCCGTCCGGAGTCCGTGCTCACATAAAAATAAAAAAAATGTTTGCGCAGTTGACAGGATTCGAACCTGTGCGGGGAGACCCCAGTGGATTTCTAGTCCATCGCCTTAACCACTCGGCCACGACTGCGGGAGGAGTAGGGGGCTCTGAGATGTGGTAGTAACTCAAGAGCTGGGGTTTCTGTTGTGGATGAAACGTTGCATGTAGCCGCTCAACGTCTATACAAGAGAGGGCGCTGCGGTCGAATGCGTATATAATCGCGTTAAACTTTGCATGCATTGGCTCAACGTTTATAGATGAGAGGGCGCTGCGGTCAAATGCTCAAATGTGTATATAACCACGTTCCATATACCACACATTCTCTTTCTGACATGGACCGTTGACTTAAGCGATGGCAGATTCTAGCGGATCCCACGGCAGCTTCTAGCGGATCCAAGCTGATCCGCTAGAAGAACCACTGGCTCTGCATTTCACCGACCATAAAACAGTAATAATGAAGTCGAAACGCAACCCGGAACTCAGCACTACCTATGAGCAATAAAAAAAAAAAGATCAGCACCATCAGCACTACCTATGAACAATAAAATCAGTATCATCGGCACCACCAGAGCTTCGCCCCAATCAACATCATTCACCACGTGGAGATGCGGTAATTTTTTTGACTTTATTAAAAATATACATGACGCTGTAGCAAAATATTGATTGGGTAGCATTCTGACACCGAAATAAATCGCCCGGCAAAAAAAAAGTTGTTGGAAGTGTCAGTGTTTCTTTAAAGGGGCCATGAAACGATTTCTGGGCTGGGATAAATGATTTTAAGTTGGGACTTTACTAATAGCATATCGTTTAGTGGGTCAAAAGAAAAAAGGTAGAAAGTCAAAAGCAAGCTTTTCGGTACGAACATTTGAAAATATAGCGAACTATTTCGTACCTCCCTTCTTTCAAAAGCTCTCCGCCTTTTCACTATGATACACCCACGCAACCTAAAGCACGTCAGCGGTGCCAACCTGACGTCAGCCGACCCCAGCTCACGCACTGGACACGAGAATTGCTCACTCGGACGTATGCGCTCGTCAACAATCAATCCGTCGACGAATATTTGGATTCGCGTTCGTGGCCAATGAGTGCCCTGACGGAACTTATCGTCACTTGAGAATTACAAATTCTATAGTGCGCAGAACCCAGGAATCCAGGGGTGCTATGTTGCGCTTTTTGGACTCCCAGGAGACGGAGAAGGAACTGACGTCAGCGATACAGCAAACGCAGATTGGATCTTGACAGAAGAAAACAAAATCAACATCCAATCTGCATTTGCTGCGTTCTTGACGTCACTTCCTTCTCCCTAGTCTCCTGGGAGTCCAAAAAGCGCAACATAGCACCCCTGAGTTCAATTCCCACCCCTGCCCGTTTCGATCTGGATGAGCATCGTACCGGCGTGCGGTCGTGTATCACTACTGCGTGGCGTACGTTAAAGACCCCAGGCTAGCGGTTTGTACTGCACCGGCTAAATTTCCCATCCACAGCTGGGAGACTCGTCGCCCGATGAGGCAGACCAAGTTCTAGGCTGTATAAACATACACACAACCCCCCAAAATTTTTTTTTCTCTATGGTGTGCTTTAAAAACACGGTGGAAGCTTAGAGTCATCGCACCGGTGCCCAAGCTTGTCCACGACGACGTGATTTCTCAATTCGCCTTTGAGTCGAGGATTAAAGTTAATGAGGAAGAAGCAGAAAAATCGTTTCATGACCCTTCCAACTGCTGTGACGCGTCACCCCAGTTACGCCACTATAGACGCTTTGCAGCAGCTG